ACTAAGTAAATCCATCAAAACCACACACCATAACCAAGTTTCCTAGCCACAAGTCTGCAAACAGACAAAAATTCATACACAAGCACACAATCCACACATATTCACACACACACACATAATCATATCCTACTGGCACCCTAATCTTAAATACATTACAATATATTTGCTCAAAAGAAAGGGGTTGCAGTTCTTTACAAATCACAAGCAAACCCCTAGCTTTGCTCTTTTCCCCGTCCACCACTGGATCCTTCGCCTGGACCTAGAATATTGAAAAGAAAGGGGTGAGACAACCACAGTCTCAGTAACAGTGAAATCTATATTGATTATTACAAAGTAAGCCATAATTAAATAAATGAATAATAAATTCAACATAGTATATAATTTAGCCATTTAAAATGCATGAATGCATGACCTAGGCCGGTATGGCCTTTCATGACCAACAGAATGCCCCCTGGCACTCTTTAACTCGCAGGTAAACCTTATACCTACTTGTACCTCCACAGGCACAAAACATAATCTAAGGCATGATCTAATCCACCGAACCGCCTATGCCCCTTCGACGTGAATCCTGAGCAGTCAAAGCTAACTCCCTCCCAGAGCCAGCCCGACTTACTCTCCATGTGAGGGCTACCTTGGCCTAGGCACTCAACCTCACACTTCATATGTCGGATTCCCTCCCCCACTGAGAGGTGTCGAACACTCAATACACTAACCACTTTAGTGCACTGAGCCCACAATACGTAAGACAACACTGAGTACTGACAGTGTGCCATAGAATATCAAAAATCCACACCTTCTCATTGGTGAACTCCCACCGAGATCATGCCTTTTACTCTTGTCTACCTTTCCTGAGTATTGACCATTCAACACTCTAAAGTAGTATAATATTTATAAATCTCATTTCCATAAAAACATTGTTATTAAACAATTAGAAAACATATTTGCACTATAATCAAAGTAGTACCCCATAACCCCTTATAAAGCACATTTAATCTTTTAAAACATGTAATGCATGATAACTAGTAATATTTATTCAAAAATAGCTAAAACAAAGTAATAAGAAATATAAATTCCCCTGTTACCTCAACCCTTTGGTACTAAAAGGGTTCCCCTTGTACAAAATAGGGCTCGGCTTGTTCCTTACTTCTCAATAAGTTCCACCAACAATTTTCTACAACATATAAGTGATCCACATCACTTATCATGACAAATAGTATTAATGAAGACTATAACTTATACCACACAACTTAGGTCAATGAGTCATAATCCACCCTAATGGTCCATATATTAAACCAACCATTCACATAGTATCACTTAACCACCAAAACCATTTATTAGCCATCACTAGGCTAATTTTCAATTTATATAATTTTTTATCAATTAAAAACCTTCACTTAGTGTCACCAACTTTCACCATTAGCCCTTATAATGAAAACCAAACCTTAATTTAAATCTTATTGGGCTCAAATAGCAAAATTATAACTAAATCAATAAGCTTAAACCATTGAAGAGCAAAAACCCAATTTCTCAGGATTTATTTTGTGCCCAAAACACCTCTTTTCATCCAATTATCCACTCAAAATATTAGATCACTATATAGAAACTCAAAACATGCTCCCTAGGATCCAAAGAAACAAAAGCTTACAAGAATAAAGCCTTTGGAATCAAAATCCAAAAATCTCCTCTTCTAAAAATTGAAGAAAATCAAGAGAAAGAGAAGAGGATTGAAGTAGGGAGTTTACCTATCGTGTAGCCGAGCTCGCAACGGTCGCAAAGACTCCTAGATCCGAGCCTAACTCCCTCTCTTTCTCCTTTCTTCTTCCTCTCTCTCTCTCTCTCTCTCTCACGTGTTTCCTTTCTTTCCTTGTTTTCTTTTCTGCGTTCTGGTCTGATTTTTCATCTTATAAAAGCTGATTTAAAAGTTTGGGGAAAATTACAAGAAATGGCCCAACATTTTTTATTATTGCACAAAAGCCCGGGTCAACTTTGGTAATTTTTCCCATAGTTAAAAATCAAATAAAACTAAACTTTTGCTTAGTAAAATTCAAACTCTGGACCTCTATCAAATTATTCTAAATTTTAATTTAATTATAGATATTTTATTTTATTTTTATTTATTTTTTTAAATAAATTTGAGTCTTAAAATTTTTAGGATGTTACAGTTTTCATCAATTTTTTGAGTTCTACATGTTTATGCAATTCTTTTGTTCAAAAAATTCATTTTTTAAATACCCATTATTTGGTTCATTTTCAGTCGTCACGCTCATCACTTTTGATTGCATGTAAAACGTGTATGGCCATGTAAGGAACATTCATATTAACCAAAAAGCATATTTATACGTTTATTTTGATAGTGAGAATCTTAAAGATAGACAGAGAAGATCGAAGCGTAAACACATTAAGAACATAAAAAAAAACTAAACTTAGAGATTTACGTGCATGGAGTTAAGCAAATCATTATCAGTTTTTTAAACATAGAAAACACAGCCCAGGAAAGATGAAAGCTATGATACCAATCAAAGAAACAGAGGAGGAAAAACATACCTTAAGTCGATAATTCACATGTACGTATACGGGAACAAAGTTACACCAGTCGAACTTCGTTCGGGTACACAACAAACGCACTCTGAGAGAAAAACCTTGTAAGGAGAAAAATGAGACCGATAATAAAAGACCGAGAGCGTTCTGTGTTTCTCTTCATGCAAAGAATCCAAATTCTGAACCTACTAAAAACCGCACCTAAAACCACCTCTTATGGGAACGTGCGGCAGTTTCTCCAACCGCCCAGGTTTCAAATTCAAAGGTTAGAGAATATTACATTCTAAGGCCCTGATTAAATCACATTTTGAACCCAAACATTTTTCATAATTCTCATACGAGCCCCATTCCCAATTTGGGCTTTTATATGGACCTGATCCATCAAAGGTGGATAACCCAACACCCCATTTTGAAGGACTATGAACTTGAGGTGAGGATTTTATTTAATCTCTTTTTTAAAAGTGAGATTAAACCTTTTTATACAACACAATGATATTGCCCCTTTGTATAGATTTAGAGCAACCAAGTGATTAAATATTCATTACATCTTAATATTCCAACACCCCCTTCAAGTTGACACCTCTTTAACTTTTGGTGCTCAACTTGCTAACACAACATAACACCAAGGAGGGACAACCCGTTGAAATATTAACAGCAACTCATTGATCAACTTGCCTAATACAAACCATCTTCTACTTATAGGATGAAAACAATTGTTTCCTGCAATTTTCAGAAGCTTTAAGCTTTATCAGCTTGCCTTTCAAAGGCAATATTATATTCTATTGTATTCCTTTCCCTTCAAGTCTTCAGCTTTATTTTCTTTCATTCCTTCTTTTCATGCTTGGTCAAAGAATCCAGTTACCAATCATAAACGCAAGACATGACTTCATCAACCTTACTGATTTTAACTCCCATACCATTAACCTCAACTTCCTTCATGTCAGACCACTGTAATTGATGAGGAGTTTGACTTTATGGAATTATGCAGGATCTCATACCAGATGTTAACAAAGAGAAGGAATAGAACATAAATTGTAAACATAACAGCTACAGCCATCTTAGATATCCTATCCACTGATAGTAAATATTGAAAAGTGATTGGATGGCATTGGCATAAGAAATGGTTGCTCGTAGAGAAGGAGAAGAAAACATTTCTGGAGTCGGACAAAGGAGTGAGCAGGAATGTGAATGCTCTGTTTCAAGAACGAGAAGCCAAAGGGTAGAGCAAGATTGTGAATGCTCTGTTTCAAGAACGAGAAGCTAAAGGGTTGAGCAAGATGGTGAATGCTCTGTTTCAAGAACAAGAATCCAAAGGGTTGAACAAGAAGGTGAATGCTCCGATACCATGTTGAGAAAACGATGAAAAAAGCCTTTCACTGATAAACTGTAATGATGATTAGAAACAATACAACATTCCTTCAATTGAAGGATTACAAATCAATCAGCATATTTAGATGAAGATCAAACCTCATTTTAGAGATGAAAACCTTAGTTAACCTCCTTCTTAAAGATGAGGTTAAACCTCTTACACAATACAATGATATTGCCCCTTTATATATATTTAGAGCAATTAACTAAGCGATTAAACACTACTCACATCTTAATATTCCAATAGTCTTTCTATCCAAAAAGAACCTGACCAAACAATGTAGTTTGGACAAGAAGTGGTGAATTTAAAAGGAAAAATAACAATTAAGAGCCTTGTTAATTAATGATTTCAATTGTATACTTTTGGTTATTGAAATTTCCTTGAAAAATCACAGCAGAACCCATCCAATGGAATATTTGGTTTTTTCTAGTTTATTTATAATTTGAAGCTAATTATATACAATTTTCGCAGTTCTATATATAATTTATGGAATTAGTTTAAATTTTTATCACAAATAAATTATTAAAATTAAAATTGTGTAGAACTAGTTGTGAATTTTTAGATAAACTACATGTAAAAATTAAATAACCACCAGAAAATGAGATTTTCTTCTTGTGATTTTTTAATGAAATTTTAATAATTTAAGATATGTAATTGAAATTATTCCTTCTGTTAAAAACATTTTTTAAAGACTTAAATATTAAAAAATATAAGATATTTTAAATTTTTAAGGATATAATCATTATCTCTTTTTTAAAAATACTCTCATTGAATAAATTATTTTATATTTATTTTAAGATAAAATATTTTATTAAATAAAAATAAATATAAAAAGATAAAATTAATTTAAAAATAAATAATTAATTTATTAAAATAAAATTTAATTAAAAATATATTATATTTTTGAATGAAGGAAGAAACTGCTTAATTAACAAACTCCTTAATTGTCATTTGTCCCATTTAAAAAAAAAAAAAAACGAGACCAGCTGAACCGGTTCCAGCTTTATTCCGGACCGGACCTAACACTTACGGTTTTCTCGGGCGTGGCGTTTCGGTTCTGTCATCATAGCTAAAGGCCTAAAGCACACTCCGCTTTAGCTGGCTCTCACGAGGATACTCAGAGAGAGAGAGAGAGGAGTCATTGTCTTGAGGGTGATGATGATGGGCAGCTACAACAGAGACAGAGAAGAGGCTCTCACATTCATCACCAACCCATCATCTTCTTCTCCAATTACAGTCTCTGACCAGCTCGAGTGCTACCTTACCGACCCCACTTCCCTCATCGGAAGTGCTTCCGGAAGTTTCCAGAGCGACAGTCTTCTCGGCGCCGGCGAACTTGGCAGCACCAACGTCGACCTAGAGTTCGGATTCTCCCGACCAGATTTCCGGCAGAGCCCGCTTCCCGGGACCGTCGACTTCTATCAACGCCATGTCTTTCTTTGTTACAAGAACCCGCGGTTTTGGCCTCCGAGAATTGAGGCTTCCGAGTTTGATCGCCTGCCTAGGCTGCTTCATGCCGCCGTCATGGCCAGGAAGAGCGATATGAAGAAGGAGGTAGTGCTACATTCTAGTTTATTTAATTTCATTCCTGAAATGCTTCGAGTATTGTTGTTGGTCTTTCATTCTTCTGTACTTCTGAGTTGGTTTTGAAGTGATTTGCTGTAATGGATATTAGATTCTGTTTCATAGTGCCTCAGAGCGTTTTCTTACGATCAATGTGTGAGTTACTTTGACAATGTACGCAAGTTCCACGATTGATCGTGAAAGCAGTTGATTTTCTTGGACTGATATCTTGTTTTGTTCTCTGTTAGCAAATTCGCTAAGAAGGATCTGGCTTTGAATTTGATTTAGGGTTTATTCGAGGAGAACTTATCAAGGCAAGGACTTTTTATTTCCATGATCATATTAGAAATTGATACTAACATATATAGGTTGAAAACATTAGATTTTACCGCTATTATTCTGTCTTGCTGTTCAGCTTGCTCTCTCTGTCAAGTCAATCTTATTTGGTTATATCATGGAGTTCACGCATCGCATTTGATTTTGTACACTAGTCTACCCTTGCTAACGTAAGTAGTGGTGGATAAGCGGCAACATCTATCGTTAGTAAATTTGGTTCTGGGTCCGTTACTCTAGGATGGATTGATTGTCAGTTGTAACATTGTAAAATCTGAATTTTTCTGGGTGAGACAAATATATCTGTGCGGTGTAGCATTTCTGTTCTGTTATGCAATGAAAAACTATGATATGATGCTGTATAGAAAGCCCATGGCATAATTCCAAGTAATTTTTTTTTTTCGCCTGACATATTCCAATTAATTGAAAAGAAGGAATCTTCTTTTTGGCATCTCTATTTCTGTTTTCAGCTAATAACTTAAAGAATAATCTCAGCTTTGGGTTCAAACAATCCTGACTTAAATGTTTCTTTTAGGTCTATGGTTTTGCGCACAAATGAAATAAGTGATATGCTCAGATCAAGCAAGAGGAGTTACCTCTTACATTACAGTTTTACCTGGAGTTTCTGCTGTCTTGAAAAATGAATGAATAACTTGTGACACCTTTCAAGTCTGTCAAATAATCAACTGCATAATTTTTTAATATCCTGGAAGCTGTTATTCTCTTTTCTTTTTTTTTTTTTTTTAATTTTATCTTACCCATTTATCATTATGCTGGTTGTGTCTGATTGTTTTCAACTTATCCTTTTGGCAGACCTGTTTAACAATATGCGAGGGACATGATGGGACTGAAACATCAAATGGAGATGTATTAATCTTTCCAGACATGGTCAGATACAGGTCAGTACAAGCTCAGTTTTTCAATTTCAGATTCTCTGAATATTCTTAATTTGCCCTGATCCATAGTCAACAACAGTTTTTGTGAAATTGCAGGAGATTGACTCATTTTGATGTTGAAACATTTGTTGAAGAAGTGCTTGTAAAGGATGGAGAATGGCTTCCTGGAACTCCTGAAGCCTTAAGAGGTTCACACATTTTTGTGTGTTCACATGGATCCCGTGATCGTAGATGCGGTGTTTGTGGACCTGTCTTGGTAAGTAAATTCAGGGAAGAGATTGAGTTACATGGTCTTCAAGGGAAAGTGTTTGTTAGCCCATGCTCACACATTGGGGGGCATAAGTACGCAGGAAATGTCATTATATTTGGGTCAAACATCAATGGAGAAGTCATGGGGCACTGGTAAGGAGGGTTTCCTGGTCGTTGACTTCCTTTTGGTGACTGAATCTTCCGTTTTCTTGTTTTTGGAATTACCATTTTTAACCTAGTTTGTTTTATACCAAATATTGAGTTATTATTTTTCTTTTCAATTTATATACATAGGTATGGGTTTGTTACTCCCGATGACGTGTCTGTTTTACTTCAGCAGCATATTATAAAGGGGGAGATTTGGGACTTGCTGTGGAGGTAAATATATTATAATGCTTCTTTTGATAATTTCATTTTAACAGTTCCGCTTCTGCCCAAGTTGTAATTGTACCTTTATGAGAGAATTGTCAACCTGCTGTATGCTGGGTTCTTACGGTTTAGAAGATCCATTCTTTGTGATTTTTGTAAAATTAGGCTAAGCAAGGTGATGATCCTAGCTGAAATTAAAGCCATACTCCTACTGTGTGTTGTAATTTTATAGATCCAAGTCTCTAGATGTTCAGAAAAGCATGGGAAGGTTAACTGGAAAGTGTATTGACCTACATATGCTTCTAAGTAAATGGTGGCGCTATAAATTCTTTGACCAGCATATATCCCCCCCCCCCCTTTCATAGCCAGATCGTGTTGTGAAGTATAAAGTGTGTTCTCCCAATCAATGGCCTAAAAAGAAGTCCCACGTGGAACTTCTAATGTGAAGATTTGTTCCTTCATCAATAGTACTACTCTTGTCCTATTTATAGGGCAGAGAGAGAAGAAAAAAATTGATTTTATTTATAAGGCACTTTTCAATTCTCAATGCCCCTCTTTACATTTTTGTCCTCATTAAACACTTTGAATAAAAATACCAGTAATGAGACTTGAGAACATTTATTAGAGGTGAAAGTGAAAATTTGTTAAATTTTAAGATAAAGTTGATGAGGTTTAAGGTTTTCTTTGATTCTAGTGAAACATGTTGAAAGTAAGTTATAAATAGGACTAGAGAGGGAGTATTGCTTTCTCCTTATTGTGATATTCTAAAATGTTTGTTTCACCATGACTCATCAAGGACACCTCCTGCTGCCTCCTCTTCTTGAGGAGGGAGAAATTTTTGATATTTCAGATTTATACACTCCTCTTTTGAAAACTACCCAATTATGAGCGATTCTGACTTATTATTTGATGCAACTTTGTATGTTGCCATCAGGGGTCAGATGGGTATACCAGAAGATATGCAGAAGAAAAACCAAGAACAGAGGCTTCGGCTGAAGGGCATGAGAAATATAGATGAAAGCCACAAAACGTCGATTCTGATACAAAATTCTAAGAGAAGCTCCTCTCTTTGTAGATCTCAAGACAATTCTGTGAGCTGCTGCCCGGAAAACAAGAACTTCTCCTGCTGCCAGGACGATGTGTTTGAGGAAAAGATTAGTAATTCTGATGCCATGGAGACAGAAGCAAAACTATCAGCTGACAATAATAGCAGCAGCATCAATAGACTGGTTTCTCAAATAAATAGTGGCAAGGGAGTGTCGCGGCGGAAACTCCGTTCCATGCCGATGTGGCTTGATAGCTGGGAGAAAGAAGATACCTATGCTGCTCTTGCTGTTGTCTGTGCTGCTGTGTCTGTAGCAATTGCCTATAGCTGCTACAAACAGTTGAAATAGGGACGAAGAGATATTGGTTTGCTGTGTTATTTAGCATAGTGGTTCAGGTAACTTCTATTGTCTCTCTGCATTGTAGTCTAATGCTAGTGCAGTGCATGTGTATATGAGTTATTCTCTGAATGATCAGTTTTTTTTTTTTTTTTTTGTGGAAAATGTGAATGATCAAAGATAAAAACATTAATATTGGGTGGAATTGATTTGTGATATCTATCATTTTTAGTTTCAAAGTTTCCAGCTTTGGTGTTCCTCACAATCTGGTTATTAATTCTAGAATTTGCATGTTGGCAACATATTTCCGTAACTGTAAAACTATTAAGGATCCTTGCATTAATGCCGATATGTTTTTTGCTAGAATCGTGTAGGCTGGACCAATTGTTTAGAAATAAACACGTTTGAAGTAAGTTGGACTAAAAAATGTTTGAGGTGATATGCCTATGCCATTAGCCTAGAAGCATGAAAATCTTACCCATGCCAATAAATTTTGTTAAATAAATTTTATAATTTTATTTTTTAAATAAAAAAAGTTTTAAAAAGATCTTTCATTTTAGGTAATCTTAGATGATTAAAGAAAGAGAGGGGATACTAAGGAGGGGTGAATGATAGGGGAAATGATAATTAGGGACTCTGTAAGAATATTATGACAATTACAAAAAATAAATTTTTAAAATTTTAAAAACAGATCAAGGTCTTTACTTATAATTAAAAAAATGAATACTTAGTTGAAAAATTTACTAACTATATTCGGAATTATTTGTAATATTAATTGAGAATTTATGAAAGTTATTTGAGAATTTTAATTTTTTGTTGTCAATATGTAAATTATTTATAACATTAGTTAAAAATTTATGAAAGTTAGTGGTGAATTGCAAGCCAAATTACTTGTAATTTTTTGCTTTTAATATATAGATAAATTACTTTAAAAAATTATTGAATATACTTGAAATTATTTGTAATGTTAGTTGAGAGTTTGCAAAAATAAGTTGTGAATTGCAAGTTAATTAAGACAGTTACTTGTGATTTTTTGTTTTCACTTGGGAAATCAACAAAGATAGTTAGAAGTCTTTATAATGTTAGGTGGGAATTCACTGGAGTGTGTTGTGAATCTTAAACTAATTAATAAAAGATAATTCATTACAAGTAAAGATTATAATTTGTTATTAGAATTTCAATAATTTAAAATTTATAATTATCATTAATGTTCTTGCAGGATCTATAATTGTGATTTTTCTCAAAAAAATATTGGAAAGTGTACTTAATGCGGTATTATTTTTGTCAAATTGTTTTGTGTTCTAAAACATTGATTCATTTATAAAATTGTTTTATAATTTAAAACAAAACGAATGTAATATTAAAGTGTGTGGATGTGTATGCTTCTGTTTTTGTTCTCATCCAAAGTAAGGGGAAAAAGAGCACGAGTTTAAAAGGGTTAAACCTTATGTTTCTGTTCGCATTCAAGAGGCGGATAATATTAAAAAAAAAATAATATGACCTTATGCTTAAAAAATATTTATAGGTATTTGATCAGTTCCTCAACTGTATGGAATTGTTCATAATAATAAAAATATTGTTTTTTTATCAACTAATAATATTCTAAAGTATTTCAGGTATCAAACTGGGGACAAAAATTTTATCATCTTAATTGAATAGATAATTGTCAAAGAAATTAAACTGAAATTGCAAATAAAACAAAGGAGAATAAATTGGGCTTATCGGTGTCCAGAAAGTTGAATCATTGTGACGCAAGGGCCAACAGTGTGTTTTACATGTTCGTTTAGGAAAAATTTTAGTCCCAACTCCTTGATCAAACACAAATAAAAAAGAAAACCTTTTAAAGTTTAAAATTTTATTGCAAACCAAGAATAGTGAAATAGAATTAAAATGCAAACTAAAATTATCTCATTGTTTATTGTAACTTAAGCCTATTAAAAGATATTTGCAAATTTCTTATACTGAAATGATTAATTTTTTTTATTAGAATTATTTATATACATAACTTCACTTGATTTTATTCTTAGTATTGTAATTATGATAAAAAAAGTTGCAAATTGTTTATATTGTTGTTGTTCATTGCCTGTATCTTATAGGAGTTATTTTTACTCACAATTTCATCTGATTTTATTTTTAATGTCGTTACTATAGTCTATAGTAAAAATAGTTACAAATTTTTTATAGTGAAATTTTTCATTTCCTATGCTGCAGGGGTTAATTTTCCTATAGGTGGTGCGAGTAGGTTCACTTATGTTTATTCAAACTATCATTATCACAGTAAATAAAGTAAAAAATTCTACATATTGAAATCATTTATCTGAAGTGATTAGTTTTTTTATTAGAGTTGTTCGTGCATATAGTTAATTTTTCACTGGAAACGATGAGATAATTTCTATTTACATTTTCATTACATTGCTTTGCAATGAAATTTTAAATTTTTAAAAAGTTTTTTAATATTAGGTTTGGTCAACTGATTTAGACTGAAATTTTCATTTCTTTTTAATAGCCGGGGCTTATTTATCTTTTAATAGCCCAACTGACTTGAAAGCTTTGTTAGAACATTATTTGGTAATTGTTTAATGAAATCTTACGGATGGTCTGTTTCTCACAAGTTACAATGACATCATGTCGTTGGGCCAAAAACAAAAGCAAAATATATATATATATATACACACACACATTTAAGTTTTATAAAAAATATTATTTTCAGACATAAATAAAAAATATTTTTAAATCTTAAATTTTATGCATTTAAAACTTAACAAGATATATTTATAATTGAGTGATGAGCATTTATAATTTATTATTATAAGTTATTATTTTCTTTTATGGATTATAAATGTTCATTGTTTAATTATAAGTATTTTTTTATCAAGTTATAAATGCACATGGTTTAAAATTTAAAAATATTTTATGTATTTTATGAAATATTTTTATAATTAAATATCTTTTGTCGGCCCTTTGTATAATTTTTTCAAAAAAAAAAAAAAACACGTCAAGTGAGTTGGTGTTTGTCAACAGAGCCAGGTGGATCCTTTCATTAAATTTCTTTTTTTAATTTCTAGAATTGGATTATATTTTAGTGTTTTGTGGTCCAAGTCTTCAAGTTGTCTGCATCTAATGAGTTTGCATTATGCTACTTTTGCTGAAATTCTCAAACTCTCCGTAAATTTATTATTCATACACAAGAAATACATTTCTTCAACCAATTGAAATATAAACTTCGCAAAAATAATATGAAGATTAAAGCACATTTGAAAAATCTGCCAAGTACAGTAGTAAAATACTAAAAAAGCCAAAAATATCAATATCCTAACGGTTACCAAAATAAATAAAGATATAGAAGAATAAAAAAAATTAAAAGGAGAATCTTTAGAGAATGAGAAGAGAGATAATTATTATTTCAGCGGATTGAATGTCTCTTATTTATAAGCATAAATGTAACGACTAAAATAAATAAAATATTTAAAATAATAATAATTAAAATGCATGGGTATTCACATAATATCTTAAATATTCATAAATTTAAATTATAGATATTAAAAGTATCAGTATTCTAAGTGCTCATATCATCGAAGAACTGTCCATTGATTCCTAAAGGGAAGAATGACAATTAAAGACTACAATTAAAAATTCTGAATAGTTGATAGTCCAACAATAAACCAGGATACTTACTTAAAATTAAAAACATGCAAGTTTATAAAAGACACTTGTACAACATGTGCGTGCACAGCAAAGTTTGACCTCTTGTGGCTAATCATAATTATCTAAGCTAAACCAACATTGCTATCCAAATCATTAAAATTTGAATAATTGAATTAGTCAGCACTCTGTACTCTCATTATCTTAAATTACAAAATAATTTAAGACAATATTACATATATCAATAAAGTTTCATAATAATATTTTTATAAAATTATTTTTTAAAAACAATATAAATTACAAAGATTGTCATTTTTTTAATATACTCTTCCCCCAAATTAAAAGACAACCTTAAAGATATTTTATTATTTTAAAATATAAGACAATTTGATAAAAATAATATTTTATCAATGATGCTTTTCAATTTTCTTTTTTTTTGAAGGATAATATTAAAAAATATTATTAATAAAACCTTATTTTTATCAAGTTTTTTTATATTTTGCATCAATAAAATACCTCCAAACTTATTTTATAATTTGGGATAGAGATAGTATCATAGTATAATAAAAAAAAGGTGAAGTCAATTGTTAGTGAATTTTTGTTCTTATATACTATATTTTATTATTTTTGAACTTGTTACTTTTTGGTCATATTAAAAATTTAAGTGACATGATTTATTTTTCTACCAGAAAATAACATGATTTATTGTCCTTGTACTTTACTTGCCATAAGTTATTTAAAAATTTAAAATTAACTTAGAAAGAACATAAACAAAACATTTGAAATGATATAATAATATCTTGAAAAAATGGTTTACAATTTATTATTTTGAAAAATTAGTGCATAGATTCGATGTATCACATTATTTATGCTCTGTCTAATTAAAACATGATGTGTCAAACTAATTCAATCAAATAAAATATAACTTGTTATCATTTTAATGTTTTTATTTTTGAAAAAGATTATTTATTTAATTTCCTATCTTTATCCTCATATCATTATAAATAATAAAATCAATTTATATTCACAGACATTTGACATAGCACGCTTTTATTGAAAAAGCATAAATGATATGGTGTTTCAAGTTCATGCAGGGATTTCTTTATTATTTTACAGCATCATTCCAAAATTTATTATCCCATACATATTTAAAAAGTATACAGAGCAATTTCTTTTATTTTAAAATTTTCTTATCACATTGCTTATTGAAAATATAAATGATCTATTTTTTTTTCACCTGTGTAATTTTAAATTTATTTTAAATAATGACACGCACAAAATTATTTTATAATTCGCTACACTGTGTATGTTGAAAATTTAAAATGTATATTTTATTTAAAATTTAAAAAAGCTACATGAATAGAAATTGTAAACATAATATCAGAAAGTTTTTAAAAATAAAAAAGCTAAATTCAGAATACAAAATTTCTTTAATAAACAACACATTGTTTGATAATATACAGGAAAGAAATTTAAGTAGGTTAAGTGTACCACATCATCTGTGATCTGTTCAATTAAAATATTTTAAATAATTTAAATAAAATCTTATGTGATATTTAATTTCTTACATTTTCTTTTTCTATTATTATTAATATTAAAATTAATTTATATTTAATATCATTTAAATATTATATTTTTATTAAATAAATGATGATGTGGTATCTAAATATTTCTCTAGGATACAGTGACTGTTTGGACATGGGTATACAATCAATTATTTAAATCAAAAACTATGGTTTTGGTAAAAAAATAAAAAAATAAAAATCCAAAGGTTTCCATTTTTCCATAATCAGTTATTTGCACTAAAATCATGGCTTGCTTTAAGCTGACAAGAGTCGTTAGGAGAATCAATTTTACTGATAGGTCATTTATTGCTTAAAAAAAAAATGTTACCTTCCAAATATACCCCTCTAATAGCTTTCCACTTGCAGCCGCTTGCCCTTCCCTTTTTCCTATATCCATCGTCATTTTCATCATTCACATATATATATTATTGAGTATGTGTGTGTGTGTGTATTTTGGCGTATAATTATATTCATTATTGAGTGTATGCTAAATATTATATAAATTCATATATATGCTATATCTTATAAAAATATTAACTGGATCATTATTATACATATCTTATTCGTTAAATAGAATTTAACAAATTTAATACTATTATTTAAGAATAACTTTTATTTCATGAACTTTCAATTTCTGTATATTTGTAATATACTTTTCTCATTCCCAAATATAATATGTTTTTTACCGAATTATATAAACTAATAAAAATTATTTATTTACTTAAAAGTACAATATTCATTTTTGTCCTTAATAATTATAAATAAAAAATAAATCTCATTAACCAATAAAATAACAAATTTCCACAAACAAGTTGGACTAAGAACAATGGGATGCTTTAAAAAAGATGATACCTTCAAGAGAAATTACATGCTTACCATATACTGCTAGAAAAGAGGTAACATGGAACACAGAAAAAGCTTTGAACAATTAGCAATCTTCCTGATGATTGACTTGGACATGGAGCCAAGTTACGTAGATGAAGAGTGCTCGCCTTCATCAAGTGAAGCTCCTAATATTCTTTTTGATTTGAATGTTTCACAATCCTTCGAAAATTTTCATGGTGATCGCTATTCGCTGATGATATCCACGAATTTGTGATGGAAGCATCTTATGATGAAGAAGAAAACTCAATATTTGATGACCCCTTGCTCACGGATGGCACTTATGAACCATTGTTCTTTAATGAGGAGCATGAATGGGGATGATGGAAGTATTGTAGTTATTGTGTGAGTGTGTCAAAAGGAAAAGTCCCAGATTGCCCACAAATGTATATATTATAAGGAATGAAAATGAATTAATAAATGAGTTTGTGTATGTTTTGTGTGTGAGTTGAAGAAACACTAGGTGTTTTGACTGAATTTGTTTTGCAAAAATTCTTAAGTTAATTTTGCAAATGCTTTTGCCAAAGGACTTTCGGTTTGTGTTTCGAGTCTAAATCACAATAATTATTTAATGTGCATTAACCAGATTTTATTTTGCATAAAAGCTTGAAACCGAATTCTTCAATTGCCAAACATTTAGAAATGCCAGAGCAACAATAATGTGACATCATGATTTTGTAACTCACAATTAACTCATGCTTCAAAGCTTTCAACTAGTCCGTGCCTATATATATATATATATATAATTTAATGTATTCAGTGTCAATCTCTCTTAAATTCTGAAGCTCTTCCTTTGTGTTGTGCTAACAGAGTATCATGCTAGTCTCTATTGTTCTGTAGTAGGAAGAATCTATTTAATTTTAGAGAGCTATTGCGCGATTAACTTGATGTGGTAAAGTAGCTCTTAAGAATAATGTCTTTGAATATGACTTAGACTATATTTTTACCTATTAGTGTCAACATGAAGCATCCTATGATAGAGGCACAAGATAATCTAACTATGAATCTTCAACCACAACATTAGTAGAGTCCTCCAATAATACACTGTCGAGCGAACCTTCAACTACTGTCTTGAGCAAGTCTTCTATTTTTAATCACCGTGCATGAAGATGGACGACTTGCTGGTGTTCTCAAATGGTTTTTGTAAAGTTGAGAATGAAAAGTTCACACGAGAGTTTTCTTGAGTGTTGCGGACTCATGGTGTAGGAGTAATCTAAACTTTCAAAGTAAATTCACACCTCTTTCCCTTTCCAAGACAATAAAAATATATTTGTTCATTTATTGAAAAATTATCTTGTAAACCCTTATGTTTAGGAATAAGGATTTTAAAAAACATCTTTTATATAAGGATAAATGGAGTATTTGTTAGCCTTTAATGCTTGCTGTGAGTTATTTTATTATGTAAATTGCAATGTGCAGCTTATATTGCATAATTATGTGGAGTGGAATTGTAGCGTGGATAAGTATATGATATGAGGCAGACATAGATTTGTACTAGTAATGAAAGATCAATGAGTTCAAACCTTCTGTAGGAACTATAAGGAAATTAGTTCCTAACAACCATAGATGATAGATCTCTTGATCACGTTAATATTCTTATATTCACCATATGATATTATATGCAAGAAAAGCTTTCATAGGAGTTAAACATTTTGAGAATAATAGAGTTCTCATTAAAGTCTTAAAATCATTGCATAAGGCACACCTATTTATAGGTAAAAAAGAAGACAACCTGGATGAAAACCTGGTTTCTAGAAATCTCAAAGTAAATCGTTGCCACCTATCACATATTTTAGGGAACTTTGCTGAACTTTGGTTGTCAGTAACAATGACAGCTTTTATGGACTTTCCCAATCTCTGCCCTTTGATTTAAAATATAAACATTTTTTAATTAAATTTAATTTAAAATATAAATACTTTAATATTTATAATTTTTTTCATTTTACCCCTTCTAATTTGTTAACCTAAATTTTTGTATAAAAAAATTTATGACATTTTTTCTCACTTATCGTAAATTAAAACTAATGATAAAAAAAGAGAAGAAAACATATATTTTTATGAAAATAAAAATTTTATTTATACACGAATTATTGTTAAAAGCTGCGCACTAGGACTAAAACTTAAACTTCAAGACAAATCAATCTAAATAAGGAAACAAATCAAAAGGATTCAGCATTTAAGCTAAAATCTATAGATTAAAATGTGCAAGGTCCAAATTGCCCTTAATACAATAATTAGTATTTTATTATTAAGGATAGTATTGTCAATTGTTATATTTCTTTTTACGAAACATAGGACTCCTTCTGTTCAAAAATGTAAGGCATTTTTTAAAAAATTAAATGTTTAAAAATATAAATATTTTTAATCTTTCAAGTGTAATCATTATTTTTTTTAGTACCCCTATTAATGAATGACTTTATATTTATTATAGGGTATTTAATACGAGTAAATATGAAAAGATAAAATTAATTTGCAAGTAGGTAATTATTTTATTTGAGGGTGAAATTCAATTAAAAATATTTTACATTTTTAAACTGAGAGAGTAACATGAGAATATTTCCATCCTATTTTATTTCAAACCTACCAAATAAAATTTTGGGTAATAAATTTCTATTCTCGTTCCTTTTTTTGAGTGAAAGGGAAATTTCATTAACTTAAGTAATCTATTCTTATTCCATTATTGTTCACTCTACCATGCTCCTCTATATGTTTTTTTGCCAGCTACTCGCCTATACATGGATGTCACTTTACAACTTAATCAAACTCGAGCACATATTTTTTTCGTAAACAAACGACGAATTCTTTATTGAGAATACTAATGACTCACAAGGTTTTATTAATTAAGGTATTTTACCCACATATATATAGCCTGCATCGAACTGATGCAGACATTTCAGTATTACATCCAAGAAGTTGGTATAACTCTTTTTTTCTTTTTTTCTTTTTTTTTGAAGTGTAGCACCTTTTATGAAAAGGGGTCATAAAGCGCTTAACTGTAAGTGCCTTGAGTTCTGAAAGAGTACAGAAAAGTGTTGCCAGTAAGTATTCTCAGGGCTTCAATGACTTCAATTACTATTAACTATAAGACCATTCAGATTTCCCAGCCTGTGGAGCTGTGTTTCAATGGTTCTGGCAATTCTGGCATCATCTGGGTCTGGCTCTGGCAAGTCCACGTGGAAAGATCCCCGTCTCGTTGGTGAAAAGGACTTCCTAACTGCAGTTTGCTGATTGATGTAATTATAGAGCTCTTGATGGAAAGCATGATCAAAGGAGAAGCAATTTTCAGTAGTTCCTGCTGCCTTATTGTTCTGTCGAGATGACTTTGAACTCTCCTTTCTGCAAAAGTGTGGGAGAGATGCAAAGTCCATAACCTGCATTCAAGTTCCAAAATGGCTTAGTATGTCAATTGTCTTGTAGCTAGAACTCATTAGAAATATGAGAAAAAGAAAAAGGCAACGATAACGCAACTTTCATTTCCTTTTGTTCTCCCCTTTTGGTTCAAACAATGGCACAAAGTTTGATCCTTAGACTTGCAAATTATCAAAAATCCTCAAATTAAAAATAGCAATGGCTTTAATTAAAAAAAATAATAATAATAAACTGTCTAAATCATAACTAAATGTTCTTCAGAGGGCTGAGCATGGTGGATGAGCAAAGAACATGAACTCAACCACAATAACAACAACAACAACAACAAGCCTTGTCCCTCAAGATGAGGTCAATTATATGAATTGCACGATACTATCGTGCTCTATCAATCAACAAGCCTTTGGGTATATCTTGTTTAGGAATTGAGTCTAAAGTTTAAATCTAGTTCTACAATATTATCCTTACAGAAAAAAGCAGAGTGAAGGTTATTTTGAAGATAAAGGGTAAAATAATAATATGAAAAATAAAAGGGAGCCTGTCACGAGTCCCACATCAAGGAGTCTCACAAGTGGTGTGAGGTTTATAAGTTCAAGGGGCTCTCTCTCTAATAGGCTAGTCTTTTGAGATGGGCTCTCCCTTTGAGCTTGCGCTTGTCACATTGGTGCTCTCATTGAAAAGCTGGTATCACGGAAAAAGCTACCCATGAAGGGTTCTGACGGGCAAAAAGCTGAGTAAAGTGCCGTGGAGTGAAACCACCGAGGATGTCGTCTCTTGACAAGGTGGCCTGGTCACGAGTCCCACATCGGAGAGCCTCACAAGTGATATAAGGTTTATATGTTCAAAAGACTTTCCCTCTTACCAAGCTAGTTTTTTGAGATGGATTCTTCCTTTAGACTTGTGCTCGTCACAGAGCCAAACCATTCTAAACTCCAGTTTGTTTGGAGTTTGGACGGTGTGTGATGGGAGAGGATTAGAGAAGTGATTGGAGAACCCATCTTTCACCCCACTCCATTACTCAAGCCCCAAGTGGCTTAATAATGAAACCTCCAATTTCTCAGGATCAAATTTCATGCGAACAATGAAAGATAGAAGATAGACAATAATACCAGAGCTCAGGCAGGTAATGGTAGATATTGTTTACCTTGAGTAGCTCATCTCTCCCACAACCTTGCAGCACCTGGATCTTCCTTCTTGTTCTTTCTTGCAAAAGAGGTTTTACAACCTGACATTTTTAGAATAATAATGCCGTAGCTGTTAATCTTCGGACTTTATAAGGACAGGATCAGTCCAAACTCTTGAGGCATCATGAGGCACAAACCTTCCAACATGCAGAGAATACATACGGCGTGTTAACTATATAGTATGTGTCTGTCTTTTCTGGATAGTTCAAGTCATCTATGGTAGACATTGCAGTCAGAAGCTGCAGGTGTTCAAACAGAAAGTGTCAGCTAGAAGAACATCAAGAAGGTCAAGGGGGTGAACCTTCACTTCAACAGCTTATAACATTGATGAAAACAAACTCTGAACAAGGGACTTTCTCATGATGAAAGAAATCAATAAAAAGATGAAAGGAAAAAAAAAAATACAATCTTGGAGTTCTTGACATACCCTCAATTGGTTCAATGCTGATATTTTTAAACCAGTCATATCAAAGACTTTCACACAGGTGCCAATGAATCGGCCATGCTTCTTTGTAGCTTTTGGCTAAGACAAAGAAGTCAAATAAGCAAAGCTAGGAGCCAAAGAATTAGTGTCAGAGGTATAACTAAAATAATTTTAGATACTCACCAATATCACTTGATCCCTATACTCGTTCATTTGGATGTGTGACTGTACATAGTAGTGCTCCTGAACGTTCAATATCAAAATAGAAGGTTAAAAATAGGTCCCGACTCCAGATGCCATGTTGAGATACACACACAGAGACAAGAAGCGCTAAATACTGCAGCATCATTATTGAGCCATGCAACTTTTAGTCTCTCGTAGAAACTGTCTGACGTACTAAATTATACCAAGAAATTACCAAAGTCAGGAAAGAAGAAAGAACAGTAAGCCCAATTAATTTGGAAAAATGTGTTGTTATTGTGCTTTGAAGAACTATCTCTGACCTAACCACTCTCACCCTGGTCAAATATGGCAATGCCATCTGCCAAATTGAGGTGCACAGAAGAGAAGTTAAAAACTAACACAGAATCAAGCCAAATACAGCCTTCTTCCTTTATCTTTCCAAATTTTCAATTATGTTCCATTTTCTCCACAACAATTATTGATGCTTATTATTTTTTAAAAGGCTAAAATTGGAAGTTAGCTCTTAAAATTATGTACTTAAAAAAAGAAAAAAACAAGAAGCATGATGACTATATATTAGATGAACCTGCCCCCAGCCCCAAATAACCAACAATATTTGTGACTGAAAATGAGCATCATACTCTTGCAACTTGGATTTGCTTTATCTCTACCCTTTACTGTCTGAGCATCCGCATCACATGTCCAAAATAAAAATAAGAAACAACATACTGCATCAAATCCCATCATTTCAGCATCAAATCTCTACCCTTTACTGTCTCTTGTTTTTTACGTCCTTACATATGTTGCACAATGAGATAGAGATGTCCCCTAACTTAAAGTATATTGTAATTCATAAACAATGCAATTTCTTTTGAATCGTCAAATCCCATTATTTCTGCAGATTGTTAGGGTCCAATAAGTTTTTTTTTTTTTTAATTACGTGGCACCGTTTATGCATCGCCATGCAGAGGTATGGGATCCTTACCGGTGCTTTGTCATAAGTGCTGAGCCCAACACCAACAGCAATGACAGGTAAACCCTAGCATTAAATGGAAAAGGAAATAAATTAACAATCATATATTAATCAGAACCATTGCAGATTTTCTACAGAGATGTCATGCAGCATGCTTATTACCATAACTTATATGTAAAGGCCGGTAAGATCCATGTGGGAGGAAGAATTCAAAAAATTATCCCAGAAAGCAGAGTTTAATCATGCGGCAAGTTTATATATTAACAATCATATATTAATTAGAAGCAATGCATATTTTCTACAGAGATGTCATGCAGCATGATTATAAACATAACCTGTAAAGGGAAAAGCAGGGAGAAGATCCATGAGGGATGAAGAATAGAAAAAATTATTCCAGAGAGCACCTGATTGGTCATGTTGGTATTGCAAAAATGTCAATGCCTAATATCAAAGCTCGTGTGAGATCTATCTAAAAACAGGAATACCTCTTTTGTGTAACCAGACATTCCTATGAGCTGAGAATCTCGTACAGCTCTACACAAGTCAGCAGGGATAGGTCTCTGCTAAAAAAAAAAAAAAAAAAACATAAAATCCAATAATTTAGAACTTTAAATCAAAGATGTTCACAAAGGATAACAAACACAAATTAAGCAACAAGTATGATGTATATACTAAAGTATCCAAGGATGTTAACCTACAATACCAGCAATAAGATTTCCATAGCTCTTGCATTTCTGAAATCACTTGGGATAATTTAATCTTAGTTATAATTGTTCTTTGCATTTCTGAATGTTTACACGTGCATTTCTGGTTTGTTCATAACAGAAATATGGCATAAAGGAGAAGCAATAAATAGTATGCAGAGATTGTGACTTTGTGAGCTATCTGGATGAACCTGTAGAAACATTGATTCATGGGATGGTTATGATTTGTTCAAAGACAATGTCATTTCATGCCACGACAAGAGACAACCCATTTCCATTATAATTACCTTCTAATAAGATTTCTGTCCCCTCTCTAATAAAATGCATGATTGCAATTACAACTCTGACATGATGTTATTTGATTCTACAAAATAAATCATTTTTATTATGCTTTTGTTAAGAAAACCTGATCACTTAAGGTAGTCCATATAGAACATCCTTTATTAACTGTAGATTTACAACATTGCAGAATAATCACTCATGAACACACCAGCTTCCAGTTGTTTTCTTCATTTGTATTTGTGACCAACTTATTTTATTAGCCTATGTTTCTCTTATGGCCCACTTGAAGAATATAAATGACTGGATCAAACGTATTTATTATATGAGAAGTTTGAGACGTGCAGACTTCCATTATTCCATAAATCTCGGATGCAAGCTTTTCTAGCACAAAATGAGATGGAAAAAATCAACAAACTTCAGCACAGAGATTTCTTGAATATGGATAACCCAGAAACGAAAATACAAATTTAAAAATCGCATGATGAAGGAACTCACCGCCAAGACGGTATCAATCTCATTTTCCACTCTCCATTTCAAACAATCAACTAACTGCAAAATTTAAAACAATGAGCGAACATAATTCTCACAAAAAACTATGCTGGACATAACAGATCTAACCATTTTATGTGCCTTGGCAACATTCCAGTCCCTTGCTTTGAGAAACTGTATAAATGATTCAGTTGGATAGCCCTGGTGCATGTTCTGAAATAAAAGGACCAAACTTTCAGGGGAAAAGAAATATTCACAATTGCAGTAAAATATTGCAAGAATAAAATCATCCAGTCTCACTTGTTCACACCAATTGCACAATTTTATGGACTAATAGTTAGCTAAAACACATAACAAACAACTTGAATCATTTCCATTCTTTCTGTATTCTAATATTATACTTTGACATGATATAGAGCAAAGTTTCACTCCATCGTTTCCACTCCCTCCATATTCACTTATACCAAACAGAGCCTTAACTTGGTACGATAATCACCAAATTCCTGAAAATTTTCGGTAAAATATGAATATATTTTGTAATCCTGTTGAAGTATAATAAGTTTAGAACTATTGCTCGTCGGTTACATGACCAAAGTGGAAGACATCCTTCTACAATAGAAACACGACTGCTTTACCTGCTGAAGAATTCTTAACAACTCCGAAGTACCAGTGATCCAGATCAAATTGCTAAGAATAACCAATTTTTTGGACTTAATCAACCCGCCCAAACCCCAGATAGTCAAAACAATGCATTATAATTTGACTAATGATATCTGAGATGACCAAGATGCAGATCATCAAGTATATAATTTCTACCGATTCTTCTCCCCTATCTCTCTAAGCATTCTCACAGAAGAGATCGAGGTACGGCATAATAAGAACGAAAAGCCAAACCTCAAACGTGTTCTTCAGTTGCTCATCCACTATAACAAGTTTTAAAACAACAACAACAAAGACGAAGAAATTAGTCAGGAATTAGTGGAGATCACATAAGGCGGCAAAACGCAAGATGACTCGAATTGCCCACCGTTTTCCATCAGAGCTTGCATCTGCCCGATAGCCTGCTGGTTACCAATACCCATCTTGTTATTCAGCTCAGATAGCTTCAGAACAAAAATCTGCGAAGCTAACAAGCTGAAAAATCAGCAGCTGAGTTCCAATTTTCGGATTGCTGATCCTCTAATCTCCCTCAAGAGAGAAGGTAATACTGATTAGCAACAAGTTACATGGAATTTAAACTGAGTGATACAGCAGTAGAAGATGGGAGACAGAAGAAAAAGGAGCATAGAAGAAGGTGGGGTGCAGATTCTGGCTTTGTTTCGTCCACCACCACCATCGCTGATAAAAAGCAAAGCATGGAGATGTGTATTCTTTTGGCCTTAATTTAATGCAGCTTCCAGTGGATCGTACAACGGAGAGAACCTGTGAACAAAAGAATAGGATACGGCAAAAAAAAAATAATAATAATAAACAAAAAAAATTTGAGGGGGCGGAAAAAAGCTGTTAATATTTTGAGAAAATTTGCTCCGTCATTGGGTCAACTCTAGGGTCTTCGTTTGTACAATAACAATAGGGTAAAAAGCAAAAATATACTTCACAAGTCATCGATCGAAAATATTCAATAACCTAAGATAAAAAAGTATATCAATACATATAAAATTATTTTTTTAATACATATGTGACTAAATTGTTAAAAGTTAAAGATGTTTTATCATTATATTTTGAATATAAAATTTAACAATTTAATCACTGAAGCATTGAAAAAATAAATTTATGAATACTCGTACATTTTTATTTACTTTATATTATTAGAAACTTTTGACTAATGATTTCTCCTCTTTTTATCTTTGTAGAAGCATGAAGAAGAGTAAAACGTAAATTCCTCGCAAGAGATTTACTTAGTCCCTGGCTCTAATTATAAGATAAAATTTTAAAATTTTATATAAACATACTAGTTAATTTTTTTTTTTCAATCTTACATTTTCTTAATTGCAACAAGTTTTTAATTTTTATATAGCACTTTATTATGGTCATTAATTTCAGTGAAAAAATTGAAAAATTGCCCATCTTTTTACAAATTTAAGGTATCATTATTCTTTAAAAATCATGAAATTTAATTTCATCTTAAAATTAGGAGAGGAAGATGTATGTCTATTTGTGAATTGATTTTAAGCTAATCAAAATGGATGGATATCATAAAAAATAACATATTTATATTTTATACACTAATTTTTGCAAATAATACATTATTTTCTGTTGGAAGCAAACGAAGCATGAAAATTAAAACGAACATTGTTGTTGTTGTAATATTTATATCGTTCAATGTCATTGTAAGAAAATTCATTCTTTAAAATGTACATCAATCGATTAAATGAAATTAAATTTAGGAAGTGACTTGAACGTGAAGTCATTAAATTTTTTTGGTGGAATGAAGTCAATTAACAGTTAAGTGGCTTTAAAATGTTTTGCATATACCCTTCGAGCATAATATTTTTTTAGGTTGAAGTATATATTTAATCTTTTAACTTTTAATTTTACACAAAGTTTTATTTTAATCCCATAATTGTATAAAGTTCCTTTTTAGTCATTTAATCATAATATTGTTAGTTTTATCCTAACAAAATGTTTATATTAAATTTTTAAATATTAACAAAATATTTTTAAATTTTAACATATTGAGTTTAATTTTTTTAAAATAACAATGATTGACACAAAAAAAAATCACTTAAAACTAACAATATTAAAATTAAAAGACTAAAAAAATAATTTATAAAATTAAAACCTTATATGAAGTTAGAAGACTAAAAGTATATTTTAGCCTTTCTTTTTTTATTAATGATTAGGTCAAGTAAGTTATAAATTAAAATTATTAACGTGTATTTCAATGCCTTTATTTCTCTTTGGGTTTAAAAAAAAAATTGGCTTTACTTTTCAAAATAAACCATTCACGTATGATTGAAAAACAAACCATTCGCATCGAAATGAAGAGGGAATAAGTAATAATCTACCCAGGTAATAGCTTTCTTTTTTTAATTTTTTAGGGTAAAAAGGGTCAATGGTGGGTGTTTTCCCAGGAATAATTGGTAGTGAGGTGGGCATTAGATTCTAACGCAAAGAATAATATATGACGCCCCTTGTGTGACATTACTTTAAGTAATAGTTTATTTAACTTAATAATATTTTCACTTAATGTTATTATTAAATAAAAATATTGTACATTGTTGCATAAAAAATTATTTTTTAAAAAAATTGGAAAGATGTAGTTGTAATGGGTATCAAAATGTTTAAGTTTTTTTTTTTACCAGCAAATCAAAATATTAAGATTTTAAATGTAATTTTTCATACCTTAAAAAATACTAAAGTCAATCTGAAGTTGGAATACAGCTATTTAATTTTAATTTATAACAAAGATATAAAAATCAAATAATCTTTGACTCTCAATAAGTTTCTCTAATTGGGACTTGTCAAGAATTCCACTAACTTTTCCTAAATTAACGGTTTCATCAAACACAAAAAGCGTGAGACTTTTTGCCCTTTTTCTTCTTGTCAATGGGAGAATGCATGAAAAAAATATTTTAGATTTTATAATTACTTTAAAAATTAAGAATAATATATATTAGATTATTTTTTGGTAAATTTTTATGAAATTTAAAAAATAATTTTTTTGAATAAAGTGCAAAAAGTTATTGTTTTTGCAAACAAAATAAAAAAAATTCACTAATTATTAGGAAGCTTCAATCTTTCGCAAACAAAATTAGAAGGAAAAAAACTAGAGTCCAATGATGAAAATTATAATATAGAATAGATTGATCTCTAATTAATTGAAATATAATAAAAAATTAACTTACAAGTAGTTATAGTTTATCTTGATTTTAAATTAGGTTCTTATAATTTATTTTATTTAAATTGGACATTATAATTTGATCCGTTAGATATATTAATTCCTCAAAAATCTCATAATTTTTTTATTAAAATTAATCTTATTTTAACTCTTTCTCGAGTAGGTTCAACTTTATCTCTTAGTATTAGCGGGTTGTATTCACTAAGTCGTTTTATATGGTGAATTTCGAATTAGATCATAATTCAATTTACCAATTTAGTTATCGACTATATGGCCTAAAGCAAATTCTTTTTTACCTACTAGATTGCCTAGAACAATAATTCAAATAAAAAATATATTTCTATATAATTCATAATTTAATTGTGAACTTTGCTTCATTAAATCCACTAAATGCATTTGTTTCTCCTCCGACGTTTTCACTTTTGGCAATTGCATGCATCTATCCCATCCTGTGAGGTTCGTTGTACAATTCACATGCTCTGAGATGTTTTTCACATGTAACATTGAATGTATAGGATCCATCATGTGATTATAGTGGATTATTTTAATTATATAAATAAATCGAAGATTTGTCGAATGAATTCCAAATGCGCTCATGTTTGTCAGTCGAGAAAAATACATTTTAATATTCTACGGTTTTCTTTTATTGCAAATAATTAATCTTTTTCTGAAAAAATACAGTAGCATCTTAATCTCTCTAGTTTGATTCGTCTACAATAAATTTTAAAAAGAGAATCATGAGTTGAAACTGAAAATTTTGCTCACTTATACTTAACTCTGTTAATTCTTTTATAACATGTATTTTAATATTTAATTTTACATTTGTCTCTCACATTCTACTTAATCCAAATATGCAAGAAATCATTTTTTTATTTTTCAAATACCTTTTATTGTTAATCATAATTAGTAATTTATTTTGATGTCACGTGTTTTTACTTTTTAACATGACAGCAAATGGGGTAGTAGAGTTACAATAAAATTTACTTCATTAGTGCCAACTCATGGCCTATATATGTATTTTTAAAATAATAGGTATTAACATTACAATTGGATTAAACAATAAAGAATGAAAATAACAAAATACAATTATAGGGTTTACAAAATAAAATGTAATTGAAGTATAGGATCTACTATTATACTCTCTCCTTTTAAAAAGTTAAAGCATTTTTAATTAAATCTCACCCTACAATAAAGTAATTACTTGTCTTTAAATTAATATTATTTTTTAATATTTATCACTGTTTAATAGAGTTTTTCACTCCTAAATAAATGTAAAGAGATTTTTCATTATGAGCATTTTTGTAAAAAAATGTAATGACTACACTTTAAAATATTAAAAATAATTTATATTTTTTAACATTTAATTTTTAAAAAAATAGTTTATATTTTTAAATGAATGGAGTATTTTTTTTATTTTTTAAATAAATTATTCTTCTGAAAGTCACTGCATGCCTTTATGCCATACAGTATACGCTAGAGATTCCAACATGAACCTAAAGTTCGGCATTTGTCAACAAAAGAAGATTTCATAATAATATTATCAATAAATTATATACCTAATGCACCTTTTCATTTGATGGAAAGAACAAAACTGAGTCGCTAATTAATTTTGTTAGATATGTTAACTTTTTTTTTTCTTTAATTTGAAGTTTCGTGTGGCCACCAAACTGAGATGCTCAAATAGGGAAAAAACAAATAAAATAAAAAATTCCTTTTTTTCCAGGAGAGAAAAAGAAGTTCAATAATGCCAAAATGGAACTCTAGTGACTAATATCGTACACTTTTTCTTTTTCACGTGAGTTATGTTGGAATAGTTAAATAATTTAGAATAATAGTGTTTTCTTGTTCGTGAAAAGCGAATCATATAATTTAATAGTTAATATTCAAAAAAGATGCGCGGTGTGGATATGCTGCGAGATAAATAATGCTAGAATATACTAATTTTTATTTATTTTATTTTATTTTTTTGCTTTAGCTTCCATATCTTAGATATTTGATCAAGACTAATCCAATTAGTGACTTGCCGGAATTTTTTTGGATGCATAATTTCCCACTAAAGATTTAATTACTGCAGCATGCTTAGAATACAAACTTGAGACCTCCGGTTGTTGAGTTATCATCTTTGCTTTATAACAACAACTACTCATGAGTTTACGTGTATTGTCAATTATTTGAATATATCATTCAATGGGTTGGCAAATTACACACGGGAGTGGATATTACATCCTTAACTGTACGTGGTCGTTACGGTGATGATGACAGGCATTAAATTTATGATCTTTATTGCACAGATCTCAGTCCTAACACTTGTTATTGTATTGTCCATTCAACTAGAAAGAATGACACTTGTTCTATTTTATAAGGGCGCGAATTCAACTCTTTTTCAAGTATTTTTTAAAGAGTTACCCTAAATCAAAATAAGGACTGTTTTTTAAGAGTTATTCTAAATCAAGAAAGGACTGTGTTATATTACAAGTTAAAATTCAAAAACATGGTTCATCCAGATTATCTCTTCAAAAAAGAGAGGGGTCAAAAAAAAAAAAATTCAACGAAGTCTATGCTCTTTGGATCCAATTATCCAACATTAATTTACAGAAAAGAACAAACAAAACGAGGACGGACATATAATCAACAACTTTATCATGGGCAAGAAAGGAGCTTCCATATCATAAAAGAAATGTGTTCTAACAAAACTGTTAATAATAGGATCATTCACATCCCTTTTTCTATTTCATTCTGAACTGAAGGTAAATATTGCATCAAGAAAGCTCGGTAATCACACGCTCACACTTCTCTTCCAGGATCTTCACAGCTTCAGTAAAGAGCACTTCAGGTGGTAATGCTCCAGTTGACTCAATGTTAACTGGAAATAAACAAAACAACTCATGAGTGGTTCTGGATAATTTCAAGTTTTCAATACAAATAGAGTTGAGCATCACCTCTGTCACTTGTATATGGAAACAAAAATCGTACATAATCTAGTGGGGAAAATATTCTCAAATTCCAATCAAAATATTTGAACTGCAGTAAATGTTGCGTGAATCTAAGAATTAACACCTGCCCAAAAATATTTGGTTATTGAGAACATTTATTTAGATGTGCCAATATCAACACTGATCATGATCTTAATCTACCAATTAAGTCAAAACTAGCATGTGGGTCATGTGCTTCTCACATAGGCTGATATAATTTTTTGGAGTCTTGGTCATGTGCTGTTGCAGGCAAATCATAATTACTTCTCAATTGCCCACAAGAAGAAATAATTACCTCAAATCTAAAGATGATTCATTGGTTCTAACTTTTATTGTGAAATAAATTAGAATTAAAATTTCAATAAACTCAAGCGCATCAAACATTACTTACAAATGAAATGATCTTTAACACGGCGCAAGGACACACGATCCTCCCATTCTTTTCCCCCTCTAATGCATTCCCTGCACAGAGTGCACGATCGTGGGCTGGCAACAGTTGCCCTCCTTCTACCTACTCAACAGCCAATCCAGTAAAGCAAGAAAGTATTAAAGATAAAAGAAACTTCAGACCATGTTTGAAATCCCCACCTAAAACTACCTGTGTACAACACAAGTCAGGCATGGATGCAAAACTGACACCATAGTCCTCAACTATCATTGTCAACAAATGCAAAATCTGGTGCCAGTTCAAAAAAGAAAAACAAGACACACTACCTTTTCCAATATCTTCAATATCAAATACTCCAACTGGACATTTATTTTTAAGTTCTTCAGCAAGCTCATCCTTAACCTCTTTCAAGAGAACAACCTAGAGGAAAAACAATGAGCCAAGAATAGCTGTCAGGTTTTTTGTATTTCTGTTATAGTATTTGAATGTGAGCATTTTACATCTAATACAGTATATTTCTTACCTCTGGAAGCATCCGATACCAAGCAGTGGCGACTGGGGACCATTTTGCATGTGTCTTGCCAATTCCTTTAACTGCATGAGCTTCAAGTTCAATTTCCTACAGACACATATGGTAATGAATATGATAACTGACACTATCAAGTCTTCTATCTTAAATTCTTCTGATTCCTAGGGCCCAACGCTACAATCAACGATCAAAAGCTAACAAATAATGTTCATATTTTAAACATAAAGCAAGGGAATGGTTCAGAAACAAAACAAAAGTTGTCATTAATGCTCAAAACTTAGTAATAGCAAGCCTTTCACCTTAACGTCTTTTAACTGCTTAGACCTTGCATCACAAAAAAAGCTCAAGGGCATTAATTTATATTCATCTTCCAATTATTTAAAAAAAAAAAGGAACAAGTCATAGAAAAGAAATATACTGGACTTGATTAAAACATAACTACTGAAGTAGCGATGCATAAGATAAAACGAGTTAAATCTCTTTTTTCTCAAACTAAAAACTCACACATATACAATGATACATCACAGCTTACCTCCCCAAACTTGTTTCTTTGTTACAAAATTATAAAGTGAAACAATATGCCACTAAGCAAATAGCAAAAAGGGTTACCTGACCAGGCCCGAGTTTAGCTAATATAATATCCGAACTTTTGGGAGCAATTGGATCGGTAGAAAATTCAGGAAGGGAATCTTGACTGCAACCAAATGAAGTAAATGTTCTCGGTTTTGAACCTGAATTTGGTTTGACATCTTCAGCAGGAAGTTCGCTCCCATTAGGTAACCACTTCAGTTTATCAGATTTCACTGCATTGGAGTTAAAAAATCAAAAGAAGGAACATGGTATAAACAACGGAATTTTGAGTTCAAGGTTCAATTCTCTTACCAGTGATACGAGGATGATTTTTTTCACATTGAACATGGAGTTTAAAGACAATAGTGTTCTTTTCATTCTTGTCATTTCCCGCATTTTCTAATTACAATAAAAAGGGGAAAAATCAAATAAGAAATATTCAACTTCACCCCACAGCAAGGGATCATATCAAACATCATAAAGAGAATTATCAAACACGAAAGTCATGCATGTGATAATTGATATGTCGTATAATTTTATGTTTGTTTCAGTAAACATGCATACCTGGGTATTCGAACAGCCTGGGGTCAGCTTTGATTGGAATAAGCCCCAGTCTATGGGAAAGAACTTCGTCTTGTATGACTGATGTATTGTTTGCTATATATACTCTTTCAATAGCCATTGTTGGAACCTGAATGTACGGCAATCATATTAAAAGTGAATATCTCCAACAGTAATGAATGACCAGCTGAAATATATTAAAATGAGTGTTCAATAATACAAATGTATAACATCCAACTCTGAATCTCCTAAATCCAATTACAGATAGCAGAGAGGTATTTTGACCACAAGTATGGAGAACACATAAGGACTTCACCTCTGCTATAAGAATTCTTCGAAATGCATTGGCAAGTGCTGGGTCAATCCCAATCATATCGAACTCCATGTCATCCTCTGTAAGTTGATTCACTTGAACCTTGAAGTTCTGACAGAAATTATCTAATCGTATACTATTATCAACTCCTAGAGCAGCATAGGCTCCAGAATACTGTATTGTATCTGTCTAAAAATATAAAACGAATGAAATTAGGACACAAAGGTCAATCCAACCCCCAACACTCAGAATTCAAGTACTATTTAATTTGACGTAGTCTGGGACCAACGTGAGAAGCAAGGAGGGAAGATGAGGAGAAGGTATAGTTGTTTTATACTTACAAATTACAAAAGAAAATATGAAGTGAGAAAGAGAGAGAGAGAGAGAGAGCGCCAACAAAACCATGACTTTATAACTCAAAATATGGGTGTCCATAGTTTAGTGACAGAAACTAAACCATACATGGTCAGGAGCATCATTATTGCAGAAAACCCGCGTCCTCATCAGTTCAAGATGTGGTGGGAGCTTGGACGGAACACTTTCCAAGCTCATTATATAATCAAGTATCGACCCCTCATCTTTCTTCACAGACTTTCTCTGTTCTTCCTGTTCGTCGATTTCTGACATTGAGTCATCTTCCGACGAGGACATTGTAGCTTCCTCCTAAGTATCGTCCGCTCACTCCTCCCTCACGGCGTCCGGCAGCAAGTGAATAAAGGTTTAGGGTTTAGCGATGATGGTGGAAACTTTAAACGCGTAGGATACACGCACACACACGTGTTGTACATATATTGTGTCTTGCCACTCTTGAAAAACCCTACCTTTTTTTCTCTGACCAGAGATGAGATTTTTCGTGAAGACCCATATATTCTTGGGAAAAACATATGTTACAATGATCTCCGGTGACGAGGTTAATGCAAAGGAATACTGTATCATATAATATCATAGAAATAATTTAAAATTAAATTAGATAGATATGGAATTAAATCAAATTAGGGGTATTCATTGTACATGGAGGTGAATCATATTAACACAGTGGTTTCAATAATTTTTTTATAAAAAAATATATGTAAAAATAAAATGATAAAAAATGTATAAAAAGTATAAACTAAGCTAACCTTGGTTTAGGTAGGAACTAGGAAGAAAATTAGAGAGAAAAATATCTCCCTCTTTTCTTTCCATTTTCACCCCATCCAAATCAAGTTGAATGAATTATGAGTAATAGTCCTTGCTTTTAATAAAGAAAGTGGAAAGTTTTCTGTTTTGCTAAAGTCTTTTCTGATACATTTACTTGGTATCTTGTATTACCTGATCAAATTTTAGCATTGTTAGGTCTAACTATAGGAAACTTCTCAAAAGTGGCTTTTCTGATGTACAAGGTGAGAATCCTCAACTTTGTTGAAGAAAAAATAAATTTCTCCCAACTTACCCAATTACTATTGGTAAAATTAAATAATTTCTCCTTGGTCACAGTAATATGGTTTACAATTTGAGGGAATACAAATGCCCTACGTGAATAACTCGTTGAAATGTAATAAAAAAAAAGACCAGCAGAAAAGAAGAGTTGACTTTTTTTCCCGAGGCCAATTCGTAAATTTAGTTTTTTTTTTTTTTTGCCAAAATTCGTAAATTTATAGCTGATCCGAGTGATTGCTAGTTCGTTCGTTCTTTTTCAAACTCGAATATAATCCTCGTGGTATTACAATGCCACTTGAGATCAACATAGCCAGATTAAATGTCTTCAAGAGTCATAATACAGACTATAATCTAAAAGGAATATCTCATAAAATTAACAGTAATAAATTGGAGCTCAACAGAATATTTCAAGACGAATCAAAATTTTAAATTACAGCAAATTCGAAACATTGAATAAAGATGTGAAACCAGAGCACCACTTGAACCTACAATATACATTTTGATATTGTAAATAAGATACCGTAGGCAGCACCCAAAAAAAAAAAAAGGGAAGACAACACTACAAAACTGAACCCTGACATTATCAGGGCACGCTCCAATATATGCTTTAATGACGTGCAAGCGCCTGGTAAACACATCTTGTTGGGGTCTTGTACCAGTGATTTTTCTGTTCCAGAAACATGTATAACAACCTCGGCTCTGCTTGTTGCCTATAGTCAGTCAATCCCCATTTTTAGACTTTCTGTTTCCTGCCTTCTTTCCTTTCTTTTCTCTTAAAGCTCTCCTCTTCTCTTCCCTGCAGGAATTAAGAACATATAACCAAATACTATAAGTTAATGAATATGAAGAGATGTTCTTCTTTGCCGTGGATTGGGGGGAAATGGAGAAAAGAAAGGAAAGAACGGTTTTATTTAGATCCATTCTCCTTCATTCAATCATATCATATTGTCAGTATAGCAAAATTATTAAACATGAACATAAAATTCACCTGGCTTTGGAAATTTCCTCTCTAGATGGAAATTGCCTTTTCTTCCTCTTCTTGGATTCAGACGCATGTTCCCCATTTGCAGTTTGTATTTTGCCATTTGCAGTTTGCTTCTTGGCATTTGCAGTCTGTATTTTGCCATTTGCAGTTTGTTTCTTGGCATCTGCAGTTTGCCTTTTGGCATCTGCATCTTGCTTTTTGCCATCTGCATCTTGCTTTTTGCCATTAGTAGTAATCTCCTTTTCCTTCACGAGCTCGGCACCTTCCTCCTGTTCAGCCGGTTCTAATGGTTTTGCACTTGGCTTTGAGTTGCTCATTTTTTCAACTACAAAATATAGGTCCAAAGAATATAATTTTGAGCCAATCTGACTAATGGGCCACCACACTTTACACTCTCATATAAGCATTTCCTGTTATATTCACAACTCAACTACAGCACATTCTAAGGCAAATTAAAATTAACCAATTGATGCAGACAGAACTGTTATATCTTGAGTACTACACCAAAATAGTGCCCATTTTCCCATCTAATCTCATCAACAAAGTAAATTGTAAAGTATTTCATGGAAAACTTGATTATTTTAGCAAGCAATCTTGGCAGGCCACATAGATGAATATATTAATTGTCAAGAAACAAAAGTTGGAATTAGGAAGTGATCAACTATTTGATATGTATTCCAGAGAAATTAAAACATCTCAAAAGAAATTTATCATACATGAATATTCATCCAACTAGCCAGCCTACAATGTAAGGACATGCTGCTCAAGTGGTTGACTATTTGTCGTAAATCAAGGCATATATCGCTTTTTAGAACTGGTGATTCATAGATAAACGCAAGTGGCAGTGTTTAATAGGAAAACTCATACTTATACCTTCGCAACAAAAAACCCATCCATATTGTGAACATGAGGATAGAAACGCCTTGTCTTTTCCAATGAAGGGTGGAAACGCTGCTCCCTAAACCTTATGTACCTGATAGAAAACAATTGTCAATGGCATGAGGAATACTCAAAGTTCAAAAACTGTGAGAATGAAAAGGAACACAATTTTTACCCAGGACGCCCAAAATCAAGACCACATGGCACCAGTTTAACATCCCTCTTTTTGAGAGCATAGTCAACAACTGCTTCATTCTGAAGATTAAAAAAGAAATAACTACTAAAGATACATGATAAAAAAGCAATGAATTTCTCAGTTTGGACTATAAAACTAACCTCTGCCACCATGATGGAGCATGTGGAATAAACAATATAACCCCCAGATTTTGAATTAGCATCCACCATGTCAATGGCAGCAAGAATCAATTGCTACAGAAAATAGAAAGAAATTTATTAAATTAATAATAATGAAGAAAATATAGAACATAGCTTAAAAAGTTAACTTTATATCATTAACACATGGTCACAGGAACCAAGAGAAGAAGTATTCTAAAGAGCAAGGGCAAAAATTTAACCGTTCTGTTATGACCAGCTGTTCACTATAGAAGTATTCTGTTAGAGGAGCAGTTCACAAATCTTGATCCGTCTCCATTAAATTTGGATTTCAAAATATCAGGAAAAATTGAAAGCCGCAACCTTTTTCTCACTCCTTCATTCATTTCTCTCATCTCTCCTAAATAAAACTTCAATAAAAAAATTACCTTTTGTAGATGGGTACATTTCTGTATATCTTCCAGATTTTTAGAGGTTTTTACAGACTCATCTTTAGATATAACCTGCAGAGAGAAACACTCAGTGCCTTTCTAGAATTTAGAAGGATAATAAACAAGAAACCTAGAGAGGGGGGAACAAATGTTGAATCTTAAACAGAGTCTTACCCCAGTACCACTGCAAGGGGCATCCAATAACACCCTATCGACAGAATTGGGACCCAAAACCTTGGGGAGCTAAGATACAATAATATAAACACACAACAGATGTTAGCATTTGACAGCATTCAATTGCAATGACACGTGAATCACTTTGAAACTTCTAAGCAAACAACAGCTCATTATTATATATTGGGTACAAGGATCAGGTTCCTGAGCACTAAACATACTTCTCAGTTCTCACATGCAATCTCCCATAAATTCATTTTCAATGTCAACCCCCCTTTTTCCAGTCCCAAAATACAATAGAAAAAAGACCAAGTAATATTATCTTAAAAAAATTGTGGGAGATCTACCAAATTAACAGAAAAAGACTATCAACGAAAGGGACAGATGAGTTGAAAACCCTAAGGTAAGGCTAACTGATGTATGACTACCCCATTCATATCAAAGAAATTCCAAAACATAAAAATCTCAACTAAAACAGCCAAAAAAAAAAAACTCCATTATTTAGAAATAGTAGTAGACCAAATCATTGAAATAAAATATCACCACAGCATTAGTTCTCGGACATAAATCCCTGTACATAATTAATGACCCCTACCAAGGTCCGAGGATTGATTCCAAATATAATTGCTAGCAAAATGGTTATATCAATAAGCTAACCTCTACTAATTACAAAGATAAATCAAAAAAGGGGCATTTTCATTATACTCAGTCCACACTGTCACTGGTTCCCCTGCCCAGCTTTGATCATCAAGTTTTTGCATGATTCCAATACTTACATAAAAAACGTTGGCCAAAAAAAGCTTAAAAAACATAATTCATAACATTAAGGTTTGCTCTCCTTTCACAGATAACATCGTTCAGTAACATTCTTTATCACCATAAATAGATCCCTTGTATTTAAGTCCACTCATGTGCTTGATAATCATATGATGACAGAGAGAGAGAGAGAGAGAGACAACTTATTTCCTTTGCAAATACCTCAGATGACCATCATATCACATGAGGATACAAATCTGCATCCCCCAATTTCTCAAATGTATCGTATAAATATATAATCTTGTCTCCTTAGAAATCAAATGATGTTACAAAATCATACAAACAACACAGAAGCACTGCACCAAGCCAGACTCATTATTTAAAGGAAATCATTAATTCAAATGACAATAAGATGTAAAATAACAGAGAATCGAACTCTCTATGGTACATCTTGGGAAAAATTTAAAAAAAAAATAACAAAACTCTCTATGGTATAAACAAGTGACAGTTTGGTATATTTACTAACCTCCTTTCCATCATAGTTACAGACTACAGTGTTTGACACTCCCATGCGATGCAAATTTGCAGTAAGTGATTTAAGCCGGGGCACCTTCATTTCATTTGCAAAAATAATTCCTACAATTGATAGGATTATAAGAAAACAAACATGAATAAACAAGCAAAACTAGTAGAAAAACTTGATCGCACAACAAATAAGAGTGAGCCACTTTGTTCTGAGACTCAAATTCCTAGACTCCAATAGACAGAAGCAGTACTAGATCTAAAAGAAAACCAAAAAAGATGTACAAACGAGTCTAAAAATCCACAGCTCCCAACTTGATACACAATTCCATGTGGCCTATGACTTATTTAGGGCCAGTTTTAAGCCAACAGATTCATATTCATAGTCATTGAAAAAGTATAATATTTAAGATTGTAGTGTGGTCTCCCTGTAGAAAGAGAACCTCTATCATTTTGAATTCCAGTAAAAAACAAAAGGCTTTACATTCAAACTAAAGTGAAGTTTTTGCACCCCCTTCTGGCTGATCATTTTTATTCATTAAGAAAACTACCATTTTGCCAACGTAATATCACATAGGCAAAAAATAGGAAAACTTCAAAGAACACTAACAAAAGAGCAGCACTTCAAAGAACAGGACCACACTTTTTGGTGTCTATCATACATATGGCGCAAGGCGCTCAACACACATCATTCTAAAATCTTATTTTTCATTTATAATGCCTGAAATAATATGCATGAATTGCAATGTATTTTTCAATAAGCCACGAGCATTTATCAACTATGAATTTTTTCAAGGTAGCAATATTTTGGACACTTGCCTACCATGTAGAGGTATAAAAAGAAATTATTATGTTAATAGTCCTAAAATCTTGCATATACATTATTAGAGTCTCAGTTAAATACAAACAGAAAAGGTGCAGTAAGATTTGTCAACATACCAGTATTCTTCATAAGAGCAGCAATATAAGTTGTTTTACCACCAGGTGCAGCTCTGCAAGAAGTATAAATTACAATCAGCAAGAAAAGAGGATTTATAAACAACAAAAACCTGTATAAGATCATAACTGGAGGGAAGGAAGCATATTGTGCACTGCAGCAGTCAAAACGTGCTTAAGAAAATAATAGATAATGTCCTCTATGGCTCTAAGCACTCATCCATCTCTCAAGAATAACTCAATTCAAACCATTTATACTGGAACAAGAACAGCTGGAGGGTAAAAATTGTAATGACTAAGGGCAGACAAAAAGCAAAGCAAAACTATATTGTAGAGGGGCATATAAGAAACAATAAGCTGAAACTTTTGCCGAGATGAACTACACTCAAATCAAATGATATAGAATCTGATACTGCTGCTGTCCCAATACAAACTTGGGCATATCTTGAGTTTGCCAATTCTACCTTGCTTATCAAAACATGCTTCTAGAAATAAAGTTTTACCCAATTAATAGCATACAGCACTGCATGCCAAATACCAGTAAACAAGCAGGATATTATAAAACGGCAAGCTGGAGTTCAAGGTCAGAAATTGGCAACGTATAATGGATCAACCAAGGTTTTGACTTTTGAGCTACCTGGACTTTATATCAACTACAAAATGAAAGTGGCAAGCGTAGCAAATCACAGCATTCAAATGATTAATTGGTTCATATATAAGAAGACAGGATGCAAATAAGTATCTGTTCATAAAGTAGTAAATTACAAGGGTAAGTGGGTGACAACCATCAAGAGCTTGACATCTCACCCCCAGTTTATAGAGGATTAACTCATTCCCACCTGAGTGGAACTGTAACTTCCCAGTGGATTAGGACAGCATGCCATGATGGTATGATGACTTGCTCAAACAATATTGAGCAACGAAAGAATATCGCAATAAAATAGCATAAAAATTCAGTGTGAGCGCACTACAGAAAACAAAGTATTGCTTACGCCATATCAACAACTCGTTCCTTCTCTTGAGGAGCCAAGGCCATCACAGGCAGAAAAGAACTAGCACTTTGAAGCTGCAAAATATTTAATGAGCTATCCTAAGTCCATCATGCAATATTAGATGTAACGTGACAGAGAACCATAGGAGGATAATACCACCTACCATATAGAAACCAGCCATATATTCCGGAGTCGCACCAATTGGTACTTGAGAATCATACACAACAAGCCCAACCTGTCATGAAGTTATAAAGTTCCTCGTATTCATGGCCAAAAAATAAGATAGACACACACTAGAAAAGAGATGAATACTTACCTTTGACCATTTACTCAAAGGATCTAGGTTTACTCCTCTGTTTATTAAAACATCAGCCAAATCCCGTCTGCGGGTCTAAGCATACGAAAAAGACAAGCTTTTACTAATGCAAAAAAGAATCAATAGGAAACAAAGTCAAAACCAACATATCAACCCAGGATGAAAGAGAATGAGAGCAGGTTATCCTACCTTCAAAGTGTTAGTCCTTAAGCATATAGGCCGTGGCTTTTCAAAGGCTTCAATCAATTCCATCAGTTCAACAACTGGGAACAACTGGGAAATTAAACATTAAATGTTCATGTTTCATATAAACCTTCACAAAAGACAAAATACTTCTCTCCTTCACAGAAAAAGTGGGGGAAAGCAAAGAGAGGTATGCAGAATTACAGTACTATATACAAACCTCCACCAAAGCCCCGATAAGAAACTCATTGTAACCATAGTATGAACATATATCTTTCTTGAGCTGGTCAATGTAATCCTTCCTTGTTGACCCTTCTTCTCTCAAAGCCTTAAAATTGGAAAGAACACGAACAACTAGAAAAGTGTAACATTCAAATAATTTCAAATAATTAGAATAATGACAAAGACGACAAAGTTAAAAAAGCGCATGAAGCAGAGACAGTAACTTACTCTCTTTGATTCTTCTCTGAAGATTTGGAAGATCAGGTGGACGTAGAGCCTCTTCCTCGAGTTCCTAAAAATTAGAAACATGAGCGAAAAAGTCAGCACACTACTAGATATTTCGCTTGAATTATAGAACATTCACCAAACACAACAAGCTAAGCATAATAAACTATGAGGCACAATGTAAAACCTCCTTGGTCGGCAATCTAAACTCATCAGATTCTCCTTGAATATTGAGCTTCATTTCAGCTTCTGCATCTTCTTCTTCTCGCGCCCTTTCTTCATCAATAGCTCTTGACTTTTTCTCAATATCATCATCAGAATCTGAATCAGTGTCCGTACCCGAACCCGAGTCTTGACTTAACTCTGCAGTACCTGCCGCTGAAAGAACTAAGATCACCAAAGGCACGGAGAAACAATAGCAAACCTAAAAGTTGCAGAAGAACATACCTTCATCGTCACTTTCTTGGAAGATATCATTAGCAAGAGGATTATCGTCCTCAGAGGCATCTTCAGAAGCAGACCCAGAATCATCTCCAAGTTCTTCTCCTTCCAGCTCGTCGGGTCCTACCATCTCCTCATCCTCACTTTCAGAATGATCTGAAATGTCATTCAGAACTGCTGCGAAAGCCATAACGACTCTGGGAACAAAAACGCAAATGCTATCTGATTCAAGGTGTACTAAATACTGATCGACTAGGGTTTAGGGTTTTTGCGGGAAGTATCGGAAGTCACAGTCTCATTGATTCAGCACAGTGCCGTTTTCGGACAAGGGAACTTCGGCGGCCAGGAGCACCGAACCGAACAGCGTATAAAAGGCTAGGCCTCCAAACAAAGGGTCCAAATTGAGCGGGTTTCAAGGTCTGGTAGGCCCGTTGAGCAAATGTCTTTTATTTTATTTTTTTTTAATATAATGTGCTTTATTTTTAAATTAAAGTATACTTTTAATTTTCCAACTTTATATAAAATTTTAATTTAATTTTTAAATTTTATAAAATATTATTTTAATTTTTTAACTCTAACATTATTGATTTTAAATAATTATTTTTTATTAATTATTATTATTTAAAAATAAATAAATTTAATATATCAATATTTGAGAATATTTTGTTGATGTTTAAAAATTTAATATAAAAATTTATTAGAATAAAACTAATAATATTAGAATTAAAGGATTTAAAAAATACTTTATAAAGTTAAGAGACTAAAATAAAATATTATATAAAATTAAAGGACTAAATGTATATTTTAGTTTTATTTTTATTTTGGATGTTTTGTGCATACAGAATTTGCCTCTTGTTAAATTAAATTAGGGTTTTAAAATTTAACCTATGATTCTGAAATCCCTATGCGTGAATAAGTTTTTAAAATATTGCATGTTACAGTTTGGATCATAAATTGCAATTTTTTGCTTCTCAATGTCAAATCACATGAACCAAATAATTTTTTTCATGAAATCCATGCCCTCAGACACATGAACCATTTGGCCAAAAAAAAAAGACACATGAACCAAATAATTTTTTTTATTAAATATTTCATATTAAAATTCGGAACATTAGTTGTGATGTTAAATTAGGAAAGACAAATGTGAAACCTTCACTTACCCTCTATTTGGTTTGAGAAAAATGGAGAGAGAAGAAAATTTTTGAAGATCTTGATTTAAAAAAATAGATAAATAGGATTAGAAAATTTTCATAGAAATAAAATAAAAAATTGTAAAAATATCAATTAAAAACTTTCGTTCACACCTTTTTATTTTTTTTTTAAGATCAAATTTATTGGTTTTTTCACGCTCTTTCATGTTAAACCCGATAAGAAGTGAGGGTACTTAAGGACTGAAAAGCCCAAAATACAATTATGCAGTGTTTTAGTCCTAAAAAAATAAAATTCTTGTATTGATTTCGTGACTCCCAAAATGAATTGCATCAAAGATTGCCACCATTGTCAGTCATCTTAAAATAGCAACAAATTGTTGGGGGTGAAAAAGAGACTTTCAGTTAACTTCATTAGTATTGAAGAATGATTAGCATTATGTGTGATTTTTAAATAGCATTATAGATGAATGACCATATATAATATCTTTTTTCTTTTGGCCAATGATTATATGCAATATCATTATTGTAGACTCTTTTGGAGGAGAATGACATTGAATGCAAGAGACTTATTAACACTCTTATCCCTACCTTGAAAGGAAAAGAATAAGAAAAAATTAATCATTTAATTCTTATATTTTTAATTTAATTCTTAAATTTCAACTTTTTATAACTCAATTTTTAAAATTTTAATTTGATTATAATTCAATTCTTAAATTTTGATGTTTACAACTTAGTCCCTATATTTTTTATCTTTTAAATATTGCTCCATATATCTTAAAAAAATCTATGAAGATTAAAATTATGTTAAAATCTATGATTAATATTTTAAATTATCAAACCCTTTTAATCTTTATAAATATTAAAAATTTAAAATATTTTAAATTTTTATAATTTTATTTTTTAAAATATCAGCATTTAAATGGCTAAAATTATAAAAACTGATCTGTAAATAGCAAAGTTCAAGATTTGAATTATAATAAAGTTAAAATTATAATAATTAAATGATTAATTTTTTTAAAATGTTAGCATACTATAGTTGTCAATATTCAAAATGTGACGCGTTCAAGGAACCGAAGTGTCAACAACTTGCTCCGAAAACACATTCTCCCCACCTTTTCATATCATTAGACATATATACAATAAAACACACTCACCCCACTAAAAAAAATGGACCAATAAAGTATTAAATTAAAATATCACCAAAATCTCAACGTCGCCAAAAAAGTGATAAATTCATTACATTTATGTCATTATATTTGTATTACACTTGATACTTTTCATGACATATCACTACATTCATTTGGCATGCTTTTATCGAACAAGGTTGTGCAAGCGAAATCATATAAATTTAGACCCCAGGCTTTTTACCAAATGCCATATAACAAGACGGGTCTTCTGATGACCATTGATGAAACAATATCACAAAATATCTTACAAATATGACTTCAGATTACGGAAGCTGATTCAAACTAATGGGCAAATTTCTGAGGCTATTTCTCACAGAGACTTCGAACTCTGACCGACTCTATCTTAATAATAAATCCAGATTACCCAAGATGGTGGACGTGGCCACATCGAATGTTTATTCTCCCATTAAGGAAATTCAAATATAAATACTTCAAATATAATGCACCTACAATCTTACATTCATGGTGATAAAATTGACTATGAAAGTGCAGCCACTACTACGGAAAACATAGTGCTTTGCTGAAGAAATTTCTGGTTTATACATCAGAAAAAGCTTCCTATATAACTAACTCACCCGAAGCCTAAAGCAATTTCTTAACTTTTTTATAATTGAGAATCCAGTATAAGTACATTGAAAAGCATGAACTTCATTCACTAGCAAAAAGAATCGATAAAGAACTACAGAGATTTGGATCAGTTGAAGAGTCCTGGGTTTAGCCAGTCCCTGAAAAGAAGTACATAAACCATGTAAAGTTACGTAAATGGACATACATGAAAAGCCAGGGGAAAAAACGAAAGGGGCGGAACAGCAGTGCTCACTTGCTTATGTCGTCGAGGTGGTCATCAAAATCCTCTACATCATTCCATTTCTCAGACGAAATATAGTCCAACAAGACCACATTTGCTGCTGGGTCCTTGAAAGCGAATGTTGGCTTTCCATCTGACCGTGCTGGTTTCCAGTTCTTTGATGCATCCCTAATATAAAGCTAAAACACAAGAACAAGATAATCTTGGTTAACATATCAAGCCAAACCACGACTATTTATCATAATGGGCAAGTAGAACAATTCAACCTATACTTCCATCATTCCAGCATAAACACAAAATCACTAGCATAGACATGTATATAGGCATATCCATGGATTTAAGGATAAAGATCTTGACAACGAAATTAACTATGACGCCTCAGTCAACAATAACTAACAATAAATCCATAAGGACACATTGGACATCATGTTAATTGCTACCAGCATAATAAATCGCAGACATCCAATAAAAATAATAAAAAAGCACAGGATGATACTGGAAAGATTTATCCTAAAGTGAAATGACATATGTAGCTTCAGGTGATTAATAGCCTATTTGTTACAAACTAGAGATGGAGAAAAAGATGGACGCTCCGATAATGTATGATCAATAAAACTTAACCACTACAAGTATCTTCTGACATCACCAAATGAAAGGCATATTAAAATGAAATTTTATTGTTTGAACGATAGCAATTTGATAAATCCTTTCTCAACATACTGTGATTCATGACAAGTGAGAAGCAACCAAATTGAAATCTTTTTACACGAATTTGGAATTGGATTCCCTGCAGTATCTGGAGGGAGAGAAGCAGATGGGTAAATCTTATACTGCTAGTAGCCTGTGCCATTAGTGTTTGATTCTTGTTCCTAAAGAATTTTTATCCTGAAAACAAGCAGAGAAAAGGAGAACAATAGGAACACACAAGAAGACAAATTTTAAACAGAGTATCCTATTACCTAAGAAAAATTTCAAGAAAGCACACAAAAATGAACTGATTGAGGACAGCCAGTTCATGAAAATTTTTAATGCGCCTTAATGTCAAATTATGAATCACCCAGAAATTAAGGCAATCCTGAATAATGAGAAATTATGCATGAGAAGACATCAGTTAGTGTTTATAATCAGATCAATGATTATTTGGAAGAATAACATTTGGGCCCCTTCTAAGGGAATTATTGATGCTTTGATCCCTTGAAACAATGGCCTTTTTGAGATTGACAAGTGGCAACTATGATATATCGTATTGAACTAAATGTCAATAATCCTCTAACAACAGACCCAAACGTCATTCTCCCATGATTATTTGTTATCTGATTAATTAGTGACTCTATGCTAAAGATTGTGCTAATTAACAACACAATGCAGGACAACTATACCCTTTCTTTGACTTCCACCGAATAATAGGGAGAGAGTGGGGCAACATATTCAACTATGCAATTCAGTAAATGTTGCCATCGGACATGAGCTGATATAAGCAATTAGATCCACCAAAAGAAATCCCAATTTCTGGAAGATGTGGGAGAGAATGAAGAAGAAGCAGAACAAAACAACAAAAAAGCAAGCTGCACCTAGTCAAACGCAAAAGGAATGAGAAAACACCACCAAAGATTGAAACCTTGGTGGATAGAGTTTCACATGCTAAGGATGCTAACCTGCATTACAGGACCATGTTCCTTGCTAGTTTTTAAAGCCTCAAGCTTCTTGTTATCCAACTGCAAATAATTCGAAAAGGAGCGTAAAGATGTTATTGGAGCAGCCTTTAAGTTAGACAGCTTTAACTCACTTGAACACTTCAATTCAAATTGCAGCACATACCAAGAGAGTGGCTGCTTGGGGAAAGTACCGGCAGATGTGATCCCCGATGTTCTTTGCCACACCACCAAGTCCATAATCATCAGACCTCTCATTTGCGTGAAAATAGCCAACTATGTTCAAGCCTTTAGCAGAAAAGTACTCCTCTATCTATCTCCCAAACCGTTCGTTGCAAAATGAATAGAATTCAACTGAGAATCTATATGTATAAAATCGACTATACATAAACCCACAAACAATTATATGAAGTTGAAAAAATAGAGAAATTAAGCACTTTTTGCTTCAATCCAAATCAAGCCAGCACAAGTTGGTCGGGACATGCATTTTTCAAAAATCACAAATCATTTCATAATCCAACAGACTTCATTGTTTCTACGAATTGAATGAACCCAATCCGTAATTCATAAAAACCCACAAAACAACGTTAAAAAGCGAGAGAAGTAACCAAGATAAGGGAGATCTCGAGTTGTGGGAGGAGCCCAAGGGCAGAGTGGAAAAGAGGGACTGCATCGGCGATCTCAACGACGTCGTTTGAAGAAACGCGGCCAATCAAGATGCCGTTGACGGCGGCGGTCTTGTGCTTAAGGGAGTGGAGCACGAGCTTTATGTACGCGTTCTGAGCGATCTCATACCTAAACTCGCTGCCCATGACTCGCTCTCACTCACCGAATTCAATCAGACAAACTCAGATAGCCACCCAAAGAGCGGCGGCGGCGGCAAACAGGGGAAAAGGAGTGAAGAGCTCGGAGATCGAGAAACAAAGAAGGACTGGGCAATTGGAGATTGAGAGGGCAATCGCAACGACGCCGTATAAAGTAATTAAACGTTGAAGTTGCCCGATGCTTGCATTGCATGAAATAAAATAAGGTAATATTTAGGCTGATAAATTTTAATTTAAATTTTAGAATTGAAAACCCACATTTAAAATTTATACATTTAAATTTTTTGTCTTGGTGATTTAAAAATTTTTAAATGAATAAAAAAGATGAATTGAGATTTAAAATGAAAAAAATTACAAATAATGTATTTATTTTTATTTGTATTTTTTAATCAATAAAAAATAAAAAAAATATATGAGAATTATGGAGATGTCAATAATAAAAATGTAAAAAGAAAGACATATTTAAAATAATTATAATTTTAAATAATTAGAATATGAAGAGAATTTAAAATAACAAGTGAATTATAATTTAAAATAAACTTGAGTTTGAATCAACTTCAAACATATAATTTTTTATATATTTAAATTAGAGATTTGATTTAAATTTAAATTTAAATTTTTATTAATACAAACACATCATAAAATTATTCATGCCTGGTCAAAAAAAAATCCTCATAAATAGCATATCATCTATTCCACTACCAAAAAGAAAGAGAATACATACAAAAAGTTGTAAATTTTTTAAATTGCCAATCAAACTTGTCCTATTTAATTAGTTCTCTTATATTAAATTGTCAGTGAATAAATTGTTTGAAACTTATAGCATTTGATTAGGTTGTGAAAAATCTCAAAGTAATTCTTTCAAAAAGAAAAAAAACTTCTTGTCATTATCTAGGCATGGACTCATGCATTGGGCAGAACATAGCATCATTCATACGCGCGCGCGCATATTATTAAGAAAAAATCATCAGGTTGGTCAATGAGCGCAGGAGCTCCTTCTAAAGGAGAAGAGCACCTTGAATGTAAAACACATATTCCCTCTTATCCTTGGTGTTTGATGAATTTTGAAAAAAAAAAATTAATTATCAATCTGAGATAATAAAAATTTATTATGGTTATTATTACAAAGAGGAGTAATGTAGAAAAATTACATTTTTAACAATTTCTTTAAGCGTTATTATTATTTTTTAGTGACCGCTAGATTGATAAGTTTATCCTGCTTTAAGCATAAGAGAAAATACATATTTATATCAATTATTTCAATCTTATAAAATAATAGTTGGTCAAAAAGGAATTGATTTATGAGAAGTAAAATTCAAACTAGAGGATAAAATCAAATTTAACATGTATGACACTCTTGAGTTAGCTTCCGTGTGAAAATCTCTTCTATGAAAACAATTGAATCAGCTTCCACACCCAACTTTATGGAGTAACTTCTACATTCTTTAAGGTCATAAGTCTAACCATTTTACCCCATCACCAATTCTCCTTGGAGCAATTCACATTGAGAGTAGCGAAGAGGACCACCATAAGGGAACTCCAATGAACACAAACTTAAACCCAATCCTAAAAAGTCGCAAATCATTGAAACTAACGCGTAGTATAACTGGAAAAAATTGATTAGTTTAAATTAAAGCCAGCAGCTTGACATCAATTTTTTTATCAACAAAATATCCATATACATAATTGAATAGTGCAATTACGATCTCATCAATTTTATTCACCACACATGTAATTACTTTTGAGATCACCAAATGACATACAATTAATTTTAAATGGTTAATTTAATACCCAGTATGTAAAAATGAATAATATTATTGCCGATGATTTTTTCAGCGTAATTTCTTGGTTTTACTGCATAGTAAGACACTTCCTTAATCTAAAATGTTGCATTTTATTTTTTTATTTTGATTTAAAAAAGGAAGTATGTCGGGGCTTGATCGCTGATTGCTAATTCCTTGTTGAAGTATCTTATTTTTGTGATGCTATTAGCTTTAAAATATCTATAAAGTTTGAGCCCTTTTGGGGTTGTAATATTCCAAAGTCCAAACAAGCCACCCCCTACTCTGTGCCAATATATATAACTGAAATGAGACATTAAATATTGTCATTCAATGTGTCTCAAAAATTGTCATTTAATTTCAACCTCAATTCTCCTTTGTCTCTAGCACTCAACTCTGTCCCTAAAAATGTATTGATTGATTAGCTAACTTCATTTAACATTAAAAACATGATGTGCCTATAATCAATGAGATTTAGATACAGATAAATGAACTAGTCTTTCATGATATGATAAACTAATATTAAAATATTTTTAAAAGGCATGCTCACATTTATTATGTGATTATCACTTGAACACGGTTGTTTTTAGCAAAGGAATACATGTACACAATAAAACAATACTTCCTTGAACCACAATATTATATGTTTTCTAAAATTTTTACTTAATTTAAAACATAGGGCATTGAGCACTTATATATATATATATATATATATTTGAATTATAATCTTAATTTATTGAATTATATTCAAACAATTAATGAGATGTTTTGAATAAATCAAATACTGTATTTATTTCACTTAAAGATACATTTGAAAAACTATCAAATTTTTTTGAAATTAATATTTTAATTATTATTTTAAAACATAAATTAATTAATAATAATTAACTTTTACTGTGGAGGGAGGAGAGCATTCCTCCTCGACATTGTTGGTGGGAGATATGATGGGTGTGGCAAAAGTACATCAAATAATTTTGAGACGTAGTCCAATAACTTCGTTGGTTATATTTATTTATTGAATTTGGATGCATGATTTTACCTACACCAAAGCCAATAATACAAGCTGAGTTATATAAATTAATTCAAATAATCTGTTATAAGTGTTGAGTTTCGTTTGAAAAATATTAAACTACATAAAAATTATTTTCTTTTTGCCTCTATCAAATAACTTGTGACCTAAATGGGTTAAGATTGATTCATTTAACTCATATTATTCATTTAAAATAAAATAAAATTTAAAATTTAAAAATGATGGGAGCTTTCACATTAAATTTTCACTCAGCAAATAAATTTTGAAATAAATTATAATAAAATTGGTCAATCCAATGTAATTATGATATAAATTTTTTTAATTACACCGATCATTATATTATAAATTCTTACTTAGGCATATTTTTTCAAAAATTATGAAAAAAATAAATAAATTGATAAGTTGGTCCATTTAATTTATCAAATTAAATTTTTTTAATTCATAGAAAAATAAATTAAATGTAACTCAACTCATATACTTTACAATTTCCATGGCTCAACTCAAAAATTTCAAGTTGATCCATATTCTCGCTTCTAACTTGCACGCCTTTGACCACGTTGTCCTGTGCAAGAAATAAAAGTCACAATGCAATTCAATAAATAGACAAGTTACACATTATTGTAAAAAAAAAAAAATGGCACTGCCAGTGCAATGATAACATGCACAAATCGAGAAAAAATAACACAGCTTGTTTTTAGAATTAGTACAATTCACTGACGACAAAACTATTAGTCATTTTTTTGGTATTAAATCAATTAATTTATATTAATTATTATTAACAGCATAGTATGTCATCAAATTCACCGCAAATAGCAGTGCATTTATCAGAACTCAATATTTATTTTTTTAATAATGATTTTAGAAACCATGGTCATCATTAAAATTACAGCTGACTGTATTCAAATCAATTATAATCAACATCTACTTGACCGACAGTTGATTTGTTAGCACATATATACTATAAAACTTATAATAAATCACCCTTTTCATGGCCATAATAAAAGAGAATTTGGTCATAATTAAAATTATAGCATATAACTAGATCTCTCTCTCTCTCTTTCCCCAATCAATTGTAATTAGATGTCAATTAATTATAATTGACTGTACTAATTCATTTAATTACACATGACACGTTTTCCGGAAAATTTTAAAATGGCAATTGATTGATTTTCCAAATTTTCCCCTTAAATAAATCCCATCGTCATGATCCTTAGTTCCTTACTAACCTTTCTTCTCCACTGTTACTGTCTCTCCTTTTATGTCACACTCTCCTTCCCTCCCTTGCGCAGCGACATCAAAACCATGAGTGGCGGCGGCGGGTCTGTTAGGGTTCCGATTCCCAGCAATGTACGAAAAATTATCCAGGACATTAGGGAGATCACCGGCAAGCAGCACAGTGACGATGAAATATATGCTGTCCTTAAGGAATGCTCTATGGATCCCAATGAGACGGCCCAGAAGCTTTTGTATTTAGGTCCAAACCTCTCTTCGTTTTCATATGAATCATTCACTTATCACATGAACATCATCTGGGGTTTTTCGTTTGTGCTTGCGATCAAGTGGGGTTTTTAATCTAAAATTTAGTCGTTTTTATTTCAGTAAGAAAATATAGAAATTAAAGAAATGATCGCAACTCAGAAACGTTAGTTAGTGTTAGCAAAGCAGATGATTTTGACGGCTGAGTCTATGCTATCACTTACCTATTTTAGCTCAAGATCATTGTTTTGTATGCGTACGTACTGCTATTTCATTATCAAAATTGGGAGAGCTTCATGACTTAGTATGGGGTCTGAATAATGCTTGGGAAAAGTTGAAAATATGGAAAAATGTATATCAGCACATCGGTGCTCCTTTTTGTATTCGTCACTGTGTTGTCTGGACAACGGAAAAATTCTGCACATTAGTTATTTATTGTTGTGATGAATGATCAATTCATTTGCTTTTAATGGCCTTGAAGTTGGTAGATGTGCCTAATCTAGTGTAAGTTCTCTTTCTTGTTATGATCATCAGGTCTCATTCAGTCTGCTTAACGAACTCGATTTAATGTCTTAAGAGTAATCCATCCTTCATACTCATTTATTGTTTGTAGGAATGGGTATAAATTTCTTACACTGCACGTACCACTAATCATGGCACAGATTTTATCCTAGTTTGTATCTGTTAAAAATGCTTTCGTCTTTTCTGGAAGTCCATCTTTTTATTGTTCTTGGGAACAATAGACTTGTTCATTAATCTATTATTTTTGTTTGCAGATACTTTTCATGAGGTAAGAAGGAGACGAGACCGGAAGAAGGAGGTATGTTTTTTTTTTTCCCAATTCATTACTAGGGTCTGCAAATTTTTCTCTCTATTCGTGCAATCTATCTATATTTATTTGGTATGAACTTGTTGCTAACAAAAGTTTAACTGAGGCTTGTGGTAGCAGATTGATTCCTTACTTCAATAAATGGAAGAAATATTTATTCCACATCTGGTGTTTAATGTAAATGAGTAGAAGTGGATGAATCTTATATTTGTTGTCTGTAAAAAAAAGTTTCAAATGTTTAACCAACCTTTTAATTTTACTAGAGTATTAGGTGTCTCAATGGTCTTTTGTGAGATGGAGTTGTGGGGGCTTACGAACAGAATAACTTGGAGACTCCATGTTTGAACTATATTGCAAACCCCATTTGGTTGGAATGTACTAATATATCTGGTTTCAGCATGTAGTTGATTGCTTTTTGTTTGTAACAGCATGTAATCTTGCAGCATTACCTTCTGCAAGGAAAAAATATGTGCTTATATTTTGGCAATGATACGTGTAGGTATACTAAATTGTGTTTGTTTAGTTTATTGTTTTTGGATAATTGTCTTTGTGCAGCTGAATGTGATTGTATCTTCCAGTTGATTTTCATTTAGTCCTTATTCACACTTACTGGTTAATATGAATTTCCATCAACCATTGCAGGGCTTGAGCAGCCGAGCTTCTATGGATTCTAAGCCAAAGCAAGGTGGCCAAGGGAGAGGAGGAAGGGGTGCTTCTGCGGGCTACTCCTTTAATTTTAGTGGTATTTTTTTTCATCCCTTTGTTTTTCAAAGGTTAAATTTTTGAGTTCCATTCTCTTTTTCTTACCTTGATTTGTTTACGTAGAGCATTAGAGCTAGTTCCATACAAGGGCAATGCGAAACCATATATTTCAATGATGTCATCCAATTTAGCTTTTCTTATACACTTTGCACTTTGGAGTAGGTCCTCCTTACCCTGTTCCCCCCTAAGTCACTAGTGCCACTGCAGTTTCAAGACTATAAAATGTTTATGAGCGCAAAGACCTTCCTTATGCATCAGCAAATTTTATGTTATTTTTATTGACTTGTTGCATTGCTAATATTTCTTGTTAGATGGTAATGGTGCGAGGAATGCTGCTAACCGTAAGGAAATTGGAGTCAATCACATTGTAGAGAGAAGTCATGCACCCTCTACTCAGCTTGCTTCACAAAAAACAAAAAGTAATGGTGCATCACACAGCACAAGGTAGTTAATTTTGAATTCAGTATGAGAAGAAGAAAATGATGTTAATTAAATTACTTTATGATGTTTTTGCTATTTCAGCTTGGACCAGATGTAAATAAAGTTCTGTGTTTTTTTTATCAAGTCCCCTATAAAAAACATAATATGTGGAGATAATGTTCTGACAAACTTAACCATGTGGTGCTGACCTGTAAAAAAAAAAAAAATTCACTCAACATGTTCTTTTATTGGGCGCAAATGATCAAAAACACCAAATAGTTATGCATATGTTTTTTTCATTTCAGATCTAGGATTTATTTTTAATTAACTTATGGTTTTTAGATTTGTCAACTAGTTATATGAGATGTCATCCTTTGTTAGGATTGGTAATTCTATTCCTGTTCGGCTTCCCATTTTAGGTTTATTTCCTGTTTGGGTTTCCTGAGGATCGCTTAAAAGTTTCTTGCCTGGAATTGCTCAATACATCCTTTTGACATAGATCTCATTATCCTTTACGTAATTGATTAATTTAACAGTTGTGTTATTCTGTTATTGTTTTAGTTCTATGGGTTCTTCATCATTTTCCTTCAAGTGTTTTTCCTCCTTAGATATAAAATATATTGTTGGAATGAACCTTAATTGATGCCCCATTTCTTGAATTTAAAGAGTAACATGAAACAAAAGCGAGAAAGAATGGTGAAACAGTGATATCAATGTTTTCTTTTCTACATCTAAAAACCGTGAGCTAATCTTATTTCCAGGGTGGAAAAAACAATGCTGTTACCAGCTAGTTCTAAGGTCTTCCCACTCTGGAAACTGATGTGCAACACTGCAACTGAACTTGCTGGATAACCAGAAAAGCAGTTGTAAACTGGCTGCACCAACATTAGTTCTGTCTTAAACCAGTTCAGTAACCTGGACATGGTGTTTAGGAAAATTAGCGAACTATATATCCGGTGCTCATCATCAATTTGGACACCGTCCAGATTTAATTTTTTTTATTGTTTCAATTGATGCAGATCCTAAAATAAATATGATCTCAAAACTGTCACTTTTTTAAAAAAAAAAAAAATTTCCCTCTTTCAATTAATCTTATAAGTGATAAATATTTATGCATATGCACTCTAGAGTTTCAGCTGTTGCACCTAGTCCTGCAAATCAGTCCAATGGGAGTGCTAGTCATGGTTTAGCAGGCCAATTGCTTGTGGGGAGTGTGAATGGAAGTCCTTCTCTTAATGACACTGGCAAACATGAAAATGCCCAACCTCATGCTGTAGTCGCTGCAGTATCTCCTCTTAATCATACTTTTAAGTCAGTTACCAGAATTGACCAAGGAAAGTCCATCTCGAGTTCTGACCAACTTCCAGATTCTGCTCCTTCTGTGCCCATTGTTCATTCTTCTTCTGACTTTCTACTGGCATCACATATCTTGCCAAACCCTGCTGTTGACGTTGCAAATGATAGGGAGGTTGGAAACCAGCAGTTAGCTGATGGGCTGATTCATGTTAATGGAAACAAAGTTGCTCTTCATGAAGTTGGTGAATTACCAGCATCTGAGAGTGAAAGATCTGGGTCTTTGAATTCGAAAAACAATAAGAAAATCCCAAACAAGTCAAATGAAGCTGAGGAGAACCAGTTATCTGGGGCTGCACAGTCCTCCCCCTCTTATAATGATTCGATGAGAACTTCCAGTCGTGGTAGCCAGGCACCTCCAGGTAAGGCTATCATTACGTTTGTTAATTCTTATGCGCAACATGATTGCTTTATATATCTTGTTTCCCATTTTGCACTTTCTAATATTGCTTTAAATCTTTATAGAATTTTCTGGTGTATTACTTTTTTCAGACAGGTATTAATTTAGGTCAACCTAGTATCGAGAGAAGGACAATATGTTAATAGAGCAAAAAAGAAGCCTACACAATTTGAAGGAGATAAGTCAATGAGAAGAATGATTGAAAGTGCATGGGAAATTATAAAAATTTGTCTAGGGAGAACCACTAGGACTAAGCCTGTAATTTGAATAAAGCCCAGAACATTGTGTCTAGATTCTTCTGTAATCAATCCCCCGAAATTTTATTTCCTTCATCGCACAACTTCTTATTAAGAAAAGTGTAATAATCTAAATCTTTCTGTTTTTATCAATTATCAATATTTCTTTTTATTTAATCTCTCCATTATTCTTTTTGTTGTTTGTCTGAAACATTCAATATCTCAGAGGTTTCAACTTCTGAAGTCTGTATGCAATCATCCGATGAGTTGAGGCAACATGTTATTGTTACTTTTCCAAATCATTTCCAAGTACCTGACGCTTTAAAAAGTGGTCTGATATTTGGAAGCTTTGATTCTGATTTCGATAAGAGGGAGATGTTTGGCAGAACTGGCGGTGACAATAACTCTTCAAATGCTCTTCATTCTCCTCAAGCGAGTGACAAAACTGCTACTTCTAGGTTTGTGGTTAATGTTTGGTGTGCATGTCAATTTTTCAAATTCTCTCTCTCTCTCCCCCCCCCCTCCATCCTCTACTTCTGTGGGCTGTGCCTCTGAAGCTAGTGGTGGCTGTATGTGGGTTGGGGTTGAGACTTGTCATATCTTTCCCTTTACTGGTTCTGGAAAGTGGAAAATTTCTTTTTGTGAATGCCTCAAACCTTGTTCAAGGTCTTTGATAGTATAAGTCTGCATTATTGTTTCCACTTTTCCCCCTTCAATTCAAGGCATCATTGTGCCATGGTGTGCTTCCATTGTCTCAATTGTAATGGTGCTTCATTTTTGGGTGCAGTAATCAAAGTGCATCATCAACTGCACCAGCAGATGATCCTGATTATACACATTCTTCGTCTTATCTAATTGAGAAGCCATTGGTTTCAGAAGTTAATACTGTCTCTGGTGCTGAACTGAAGGCTGATCAGCCAAAGCAGGAGGTATTATTGGCTCCAGTGGGCACGCCAATCCCAACTATTATGAATGGTCAGAGCTATGGTTTAAATTTCATGTCCACCATGTTAGCAACTCCGCAAGTTCAATTGAAGGGAGCTGAGCCTCAGGGACAAGAAACAACTCGCCTTCCAAACTATGTTGTTAGTCTTTTTCCATTTTTTATTTATTAAAACAGTGCATCTTTCCAACTTAGTTCTTTTTCTGTTTTACAATCGGCCACTATTTACTCTTTTTTTTTATTTACTTTCTGTTATTCATTACTTATGTTTCTGTAATTCTCTTTATTTAAAATGTAGAGTGCAAATTCTCATTCTGTGTCTAGCCCTAGCCCAAGCCCAACACCACCTCTGCATAGCTCTTTACCTACTGCTCCCCAGTCAATTTCTTTCTTCAGGCCACCGTACCCTCCCAACTTTTTCCCATATGGCCCTTATTACCCCCCAATTTATGTGTCACCAATACACCAATATTTAAACCACAATGGCTTCCCTCAACAACCATCAACCGGCAACATCTATGTACCTGCTGCAGCTGCTGGTGTCAAATTCCCTCTCCAACAATTAAAGGTTGGATCAAATGCTGGAAACACAGCCCATATTGGGATTTCTCCCGGATCATTTATCTCTCCACCTGTTGGATATGCACCTAATCAGACAGTGAATTCAGGTAACTTGACTGGAAATGAAGATCTTGCCTTGTCGCAGTTAAAGGAAAAACATGTCTTTACAGCTGGACAACCGGTTGGTCTCCCTCTCCCACACCCAAAAAAAAGTTTGCTTCCTTAATTCTGAAATTCTTGTATTTTCTAGTTGTCATTCCTTTTTCTCTCTTTTGCAGAGTGAAGGTTCTGCTGTGTGGATACCTGCTCCAGGCCAAGAAATATCCAGCTTGCAGCTTAATTCTCTTTATAATTTTAACCATCAGGGACATCTTATGTTCCCCCCAACTCAGGCTGGTCATGCTTTTGCTGGTATCTATCAACCAGGGCAGACAGTACCTTCGCCTTCAACCCTTCTGCAACAGTCTCAGTCTGTCACTGGAGCAGTCGAAACTGTAGGAGCCCCTCCTGTTGCTTATCAGCAGTCTCAACATGCGCAGATGAATTGGAGTTCTAATTTTTAGGCTCGAAGCATTTCTAGGTACCATATGTTCAAAAGCACGTTTAATGTGATCATCTCCAGGTAGTATGAAGCACAGGCCTGATCTGAGTGTAAATAAGAAGTGCGGCCAAAAGAGGGACAATATTCAGTAATATCTTAAGTTGGAATAAACAACACTAACGATTTTGAGGGGTGCTAGTTGCAGGTTTCCTTCCTTTTGTTTTTAAGAAAAAAGATTGGTTGAGTTATTCCTTACCTAATCTTTTGGCCCTTAGAACATTTGACTGTTGCTATATGAAACCTTGTACTTCCTTCCAAGTGATATTATAGGAAACCAAGAGTTTGATAGAGTAGGTGAGATTTACCAAATTTTCCTTTCTAATATCTCACCTGTATATTACATTTTGACTTAAAGACATTGAATTATACAGTTCAGTTTAGTACATGGAAATTGTGATGTGTAGCTTTCTTCAGTAATGCTGTAAGCCTGCCTGTTTTGTCGTGGATTAAAACAATGATTTTATATTTAATGCGATTTCTCTTGGCATGGTGGGAGTTCTAAAGTTTATCAGCTGCCTCCCTTGATTCGTGATCATGCTTGGGAGACAACTATCAAGGAAGGCTTCATATTTGAAAGCAAAAGGAAAAAAGCAGAATCATAGGAGAAAGCGCATGCAGATAGTTTTTATTCAACATACCATGACTCTCTCTTTACGATCTTATATTACATTTATCATGATTTCCCACCCTTTTGAGGTTGTGGGTTGATGAGATCATCTATCTTTATTTGAATGGTTGGCTTATATTTGCATGAATGTTCTTGAAATCTGTCTTTAGATCTACAATTCCAGATGTTAATTTTTTCCCTTGATTGAGTTTACTCATTAGGTATGATTATAATTGATATGATCGAAACTCAGGTACGAGGCATTATAGAGGCTTGAAGGATGTTTGGGAGTTGAGTCCCTAGAATTTCATTGCCCAAAAGATTTCCTCTAGCTTTCCCTCTTGTTTCAAAAATAGCCTTTGAAAAGCGTGTATGGGACAAAGGACTTGGGAAAAGCCAAATAGTTCAACAATGTTAAATTTCAGTCAATTATCAATAGTCATGTATTTTAAAAGACTGTAGGCAAAACCCGTTGCGAATCATTTTTTTTCCGTGTGATTGAATTACTGTGATTAGTCTGTCCATACAAAAATGCTTGTTGCAAAATGGAATTGGATGTAACCTCCTAGCATATGACTAAAATTGTGTTTCTGGCTCTATGACTAGCAACTTAACTTAGACGACAGTGGAGGTGATCTTTACATCCAATTGTGAGCTATTATCAGTGCTTTCTTTTGGTTTTGAGGGATTGGAGTTAGTCTTTGGAAGCTGCTTGTCTTGAGATTTTTGTTTCAAGTTCAATGATGTGTAAACTGACATTCCCGTTAGAGCAATGACAGCACCACCTAGACTGACAATCCCGGGATCTGAATCAAGTATCAGATAGCCTCCTAGCAAAATGACACAGGTCTTAAATTGTCCTAAAACAACATGAGAAGTAGCAGAAGTGGCCCTGCATAGGTTCCATGCCATGGTGTCAGCCAAGCAATAGATTCTTTCTTCAGCTAAAAGTGATGAAAGATGAAAGAAAACCAAAATCTTGCAACTATGAAGCTTTCATGTTTTAATGTGTTGTGTCAGTATGCTTCGGTGGAATAGAAAGGAAGACTCACCCTAGAGCCAAGGCCCCTGACCATTGTAGGAGAAAGCCAAGCAGTGCGGATATCATAATGGCAGTGCTGCTGTTAACATCCCAGTTGAAAGATAGCACTCCTGGTGGATCCAACCAGGGCATCAGAGGCACTAGAAAGAAAATCGTGAAAGGGGTTGTCTTCCACATCAACCTTCAATGAGAGAGTTTTTATCAACCCACTTGCTTATAGCTTCATAGAGATTCTTAGGGTGTGTATAGTTAGTGCGTGCATGTGTGTGTCTATATGTATATATTCATGATAATGAATCTGTTGATTGACTTTTAGTACATACGCAAGAGCTGTCCAGTTGCCTTGCTGTTGTAAAGTAGACCATAGAATCTTATTTATGGCACTTGGAATAATCCATGCAATTGCAATTAGAGCGCCAAATAAATTGAACTCTAAATCTGACACAGTTGCTATTGCTACCCCTATTGATACCACAGCCAGAGCCAGAGCCTGCACCATTGCAATGACATTTATACATTAGAAATGCTCTAAAAGAATAGAAGAAAAGAAAATGGTGTGCAATTCCTGTATGATTATTTCCATTTTCCCCCTTCTTTTTTCCTTAGTCAAGTGATGAGGAAGGGAAGTTGAATTCTTGACCTTCTGAAAAGAAATGGTTTTTCTGAAAAGCAAGAACTCTGCTAGAACAATTGTGGGGGTGACTGCAATCTTAGCCATTTGGTAGAAACCAACACTGCAAGAGCATGATAGCTAGTGAAAAGGCAAGTTGTTAGATGTGTGTGTGTGTGTGTGTGTAGACAGAAATGGGAAGGAGGAACCTGTTATACTTGAGGCTGGTGTTGGCAAGGCCAGAGGCAAAAGCCATGATAGCACCCAGAGAGAAGATAGAAGAGTAAGGAGTGGTTTTGGAGGGAGGGGAGACAGGAAGCACTGACATTGCCTTGAAGAATGCAAGCAGAAGCCATGCAGTGACGTAGTGAACAAAAGTCAGAAATATTGGGAAGTTGAATCCTACTTTCCCCATCACCTGTCAACACATTCATATACGTATACACAAACATGCACACATGTGAGACCACCTGAATCAACGGACTCAACTTACTCCAAGGTGTTAATCTGGTTAAAAACTTCAATTTAGACTTCCCATAAATTAAGTTCAACTTTTTTTAGTTCAAACACAATCCTTAAGCTTAAAATATAACTCGAGTCAGAGAAATAAATGTTGATTTTATTTTGGGGTACAAGGACAAACCAAAACCAGTTTGAAAATTAGCAGGATTGAACCCAGAGTGAGCCTAATGCCATGGCCACTAGGTCACAGGTCATAAAAGCATTGGCACATCGACTGGAGCCAACATGCAATCATGTAATGGAAGAAAGGAAGGGGAAGGTGAAGAATACGAACTAATTTATTAGCCAATATGATGCCAACAGAAACCATGAAGTTGAAGGACAATGCGACCGTCGGTCCACAGTATCGTTGTTGTTGGCGCTTGGCTCCTTCTGATGTTCGAAGCTCATTGTAAAGAGATGCTCTAAGCTCTTCCAATGCCCTACCTATTCATTTCAATCATTATTCAATCAAAAACAACACACACCCAACACATCATTGCAAATTACAACATAGAAAAAACTTCGAATATGACATCATAATTCACATAATTTGTGGTCTTTTGAAAGATGTTGAAAAGTCACCTCAATTTGCTGACATTAGCACGTACATGTATCACCAGTTTCAATTCTCGAACACAATTATTTATCATCTGCTATTATCATGTTAGATTTGAGCATTATTGGTCGGTCGGGTATTGAAGTTTGAGTCTTTTTTTTATTTTTTATTTTTTTGTTTTTTTGCTATCACTGGTTTCGATTCTACATTTTTTGAGAAATTGTGTTTGATCCAAGGTCGTGAGATACAATTATGATTTATAGCAGATAGATCATCTCTCAAGGTTGCGATGGTGCCAAGAAAATCAAATTAGTAAAAACAGAGTACTTGCATCATCTTTAAAACAGAGCAATCAGCGCTCAATCTTGTGAACATCCAAATCCCAGAAAGTCAATAACACAGCGTATCAACAAGAAAGAAAAATAGAATCAAGAACGAAAATGAAGCATTAACACGTCGTGATTTGAAAGAAACGAACCAGCTTCGCCTGCATCACTATCCTTCCTTTTGATGGCTTTTCGTGCTTCAGCTCTGAAGAATGAATCGAACCACCCCATACCAACCAAAATGTTGTATGAATCTACCTGGAGATCACATATTTAATCGAAAATGCAGGTGGAGCCCTTTTTCTGGAACGAGGAAAACGATCTTGCAACGATTGCATTCACGGGATTAAGAGGAAAAAGAAGGATTAATATAGGAGAAAGATGAAGATAATGATCGGCAAAGTTGCTTAGTATGCAAGGATGGACATTCTTCAAGGAGGGATTTTACAAGCACATGATGATCAAAAGCACATAAAAGACAAAAAGAAAAAGGAAACTCAGGAGATCTTTGCTTGCGTTCTCTCTAGAAAATTGCAGTAGGAAGAAAAATAATTAGATTGCTATGATCAGATCCAGACACACTTCAGATAAAAATATCAATTAATTTTCATTGACTCAGCGTCCAAAGGTATGTATCTTAGTCAGCTGATCTTATTTATAATTTTTTTTAAAAAATAATTTTTTGAGTTGTATTTATGAGATATATTAACTTTTCATTGCAAGTTTTTTCTTTTATTTCATCAAATATTAGTGAGAAAGAGACAATGAATATATTGTATTAAAATATTTATATTTAATAGGATAAAATAAATAATTATTAAACTTTTATAAAGAATTAATAAATTTTAATATTTTTTAATTTTATTGAAACAGATCAGAAATAATTTATAAATAAAACTAAGCAGAGCATGTTACTGTACATTGTATTAATAAAAACATATATATACTAACTTAATTGGTCATCTTCTTATATGATATTGTGTGGGATATGAAGAATGAAATTTATGTTTTTTTTTAAGGAATGAAATATATTTTTCACAACATTAGAAATAATATGATTTATTATCAATTTTATATTTGATATGGATTAATATGAGTGGCTATATTTTTCATATATTGTAAATAAAAAATAGATAATTTATCCTACTCATGATTTGTGAAGAGTCGCTCGCACTTTTTTAAGATTTTGTTTGCCCACAATTTGGCGACACGTGTTATTGCCGCAAAGTGCCAAAGCAATGTTTTGTGAATGAAGGTTCGCGAGAAAGTGAAGGAGCTATGATGCTGTAATCTTATTTATAAGACATATTTTAAAATATTTATTTATTTTTATTTATAAATTATAACACAATTTTTTAAATAATATTTAAAAAATATTTTTAAAATTATCATTTATGATAAAAAAATTAATATTATATAAATTTTTAAATTTATTATATAGTGACATATTTAAAATTTTATATATTTTTATTTTTTATTTTTATTTTGTATTAATATTAATAAAATTGATAGAAATGACTTATAAAAATGATTGAAAGAGCAATTTAGAAGCAGTCAAAACATGGGATAGATTTAAATATAGTGAATAGTCTAAATTCATTAGCATTTCAAGTGATATGATAACAATTATTTAACTTAATTGAATGGTTAAAAAATTTTGTCATATGATATTAAAAAAATTTTAAATCTCAAATGTGAGGAGTTTTTTAATTGTGAGAGTTATTTTTTTAAAAAAATA